GGAGAGTAATGGAGTGCTGCATCAGATGACGTCGCCTCCACAATCCCCCAACTTCAACCCAATTGAGATGGTTTGGGATGAGTCGGACGGCAGAGTGAAGGAAAATCAGCCAACAAGTGCTCAGCATATGTGGGAATTCCTTCAAGACTGTTGGAAAAGCATTCCAGGTGAAGCTGGTTGATAGAATGCCAAGAGTGTGCAAAGCTGTCATCAAGGCAAAGGGTGGCTATTTGAAGAATCTCAAATATAAAATATATTTTGATTTGTTTAACACTTTTTTGGTTACTACATGATTCCATATGTGTTATTTCATAGTTTTTATGTCTTCACTATTATTCTACAATGTAGAAAATAGTAAAAATAAAGAAAAACCCTTGAATGAGTAGGTGTGTCCAAACATTTTGACTGGTACTGTATGTCTCAAGTAAAAGCCTTGGGTAGCGAGTTGATACAATTCCAAGTCTGGAAGGTTAAAACCACCCTCAGACTTAGGAAGATGTAAAACGTTCCTTTTTATTATATGAGTTTTATTTGCCCATATAAAGTATGTTATGCAGAGCATACTTTTTTAAAGAATGTCTTCAGTGGGGTAGTTGGTATCACCGAGAAAAAAAAAGAAGGACAAAAAAAAAGTGTTTGTGTCATTTTTATGTTACTACTTGGGGTAGGCTACTCCACAGAGTTAAAACGATGTGGGCTGTCGTTTGGGAATGTCCCTAAAGCAGTGCCGAGCACTGGGAGATTCCCACATGCTACACAGGCAATTCCCAAAAATATTCCCAAAACTCTGCAGAGCCAGGAACACTTCCCATATTTCCTGTCTTTTATTGGTTTGCTCCAACTTTTCCATAGTAAAGAGAGATTAACCATAACACCTTGGAAACCCGTATTTGAACCCTAATACCTTGAAAAGCCTTACTTGAACCCTAATACATTGGAAACCCATATTTGAACCCTAATACCTTGAAAAGCCTTATTTGAACCCTAATACCTTGAAAAGCCTTATTTGAACCCTAATACCTTGAAAAGCCTTATTTGAACCCTAATACCTTGAAAAGCCTTACTTGAAATCACTTCTCAAAGGCAGGAAGTCACAACACAGCAGCAGATTCTGAAAGCAACATTGGTATTAACCAAGACCCAATAAATAAATGACTGTTAATGACTGTTAGTGTTATGACATTTTAATAGTGGTCAAAAGTGAATAGCAAAAATAAGTATAACAGACATTACATCTTAAAATGGAATGCTCTGGTGTTTTACTTTACTCTCATCTACAGGCCAATGATTTGGCCGCAGAAGATGGTTGAATCAACTGGACAAAATGTAATAACCAGAAAGACGCAAGGCCATGTGAAATATATACTTTAATATGACCATACATTTCTCAAGATCAGTACAAAGTAATATTCTATTTAGTGATGCTTTCATCATAGCGTTCTGTTTCCAAGACAGACATACAGACAGGACAGAGATTAAACAAAACAACTATTACAGAAACACGTAGTCCGTATGACACCTACTGTACACACAAACAACGATGTGCACGTGCTCAGACACAATGTGGACATGTGACACACTGATTAAGAGATGGAAGGAGGGAGGGGGTAGAGAAATATAGAGAGAAGAGGGAGGAATGCATTGATAGATGCAGTGCCAGGCCAGACCCGGAGGAGAGGAACCAGGGCCAGGCCAGGCCCGGAGGAGAGGAACCAGGGCCAGGCCCGGAGGAGAGGAACCAGGGCCAGGCCAGGCCCATAGGAGAGGAACCATGGCCCGGAGGAGAGGAACCAGGGCCAGGCCAGACCCGGAGGAGAGGAACCATGGCCAGGCCAGGCCCGGAGGAGAGGAACCAGGGCCAGGCCAGACCCGGAGGAGAGGAACCAGGGCCAGGCCAGAAAAACATCCTTATATAATGAAAGCGTCACTGGATAGTTTCCCATCACCATAGGAAACTACTGCACTGCAGTGCAATCGCCTCAGGGACTAGCTAGCTGAATGATTTTCCTTTCAATTAAATGTCCTTTTGAACCTGGTTGTTAGTCTGTGTGAGCAGCTGCCAAAGGGGTGACAAAAAAGTGGGATAGGAACAAATAGAAAATAATCTCCATGTACACATAAATATGATACGATACCCTCAAGAGGTGGGAAAAATACTTGTTTAAGTCAGTAATAAAGCTTTTGACCATGCAACAATGTTCATCAGTAACTTTTAAACACAACTATGAACACAGATTAGACCAACTGGCGACAAAAACAGATGCCAAATATGTACAAAAAAATATAACAAAAATAACAATATCTCTCTTTCTGCAAGAACGTATTTCTATGTCATATATTTTACAGCTTAAGTTGTACCATTAGTCCAGCACGTTTAAGATGTGTACAGGTAGCTTAAGTGCGAGGAAGCAAAGCAACATAGACGGGATAGGTGACAACGTCAGGAAAACCATGCAAGCACTTCAATGGGGCAGAAGGCCGTGTGTTGTTGTGATTCTGGATGGCCAGATAGCTAGCAACAATGACAACAAGCTGCCATGTGGGCAATCGTAGGTGGCTTGTTTCAGCTTGTTTTTATCTTGTTCTTGATACCATGTCTTGTTTTGACTGATGTCAAGTCTATACTAATATGGCGAAAATTCTCTAGCTAGCTAACCAACAACTGTAACAATGTATTTGAGAGACAAGTGCTCATTGTGCAAATGTATTTGTTTTCAATAAACAGAAACAAAATATAGTTTACATGTTATCAATAGTCTAAGCCAAACCAGTCTGTTTTGCCCCATAGTTGCACATGTCGGTTTTGTTGCTAAACAACCAACCCGTCTATATAGTCTAAGACTGTTACTATCTATAGGTCAACACTACAAGGTTATGGAGAGCATTTAAATATGACTGTATGGAAATATATATAAGCTGTAAAAAATAATATATATACTCCAAATACATTTATATATACATAAATATGTTAAATACTGATCATTCTGAATCCCTGGATTTCTGAAAACTTGCTTATATCTATTTAGGGTGTGGACTCACATGTCATACTAACCAGAGCCCTCTCCACACAGTAACTCTTTCTATGAAACACCTGAACTACTGTTCTGCAGGCAGTATGTACCATACGTAAGTCTCCCAAAGTTGACTTTTGCCTCTTTAAACACGCAGGTGATCACTGTCTGTCTAGACCAGGGCTGCCCAACCTTCTTCCTGGAGATCTACCATCCTGTGGGTTTTCAGTCCAACCATAATTTAACACACCTGATTCTACTTATTAGCTGCTCAATAAGACCTTAACTAGCTGAATCAGATATGCTAAATTAGGGTTGGACTGAAAACCTACAGGACAGTAGATCTCCAGCAAGAGGGTTGGGCAGCTCTGGTCTATATCATGGGTCTGAAAGTCATTCCATGGAGGGCCTAGTGTCTGCAGGTGTTTGGTTTTTCCTTTCAATTAAGCCCTAGACAACCAGGTGTAGGGAGTTCCTTACTAATTCATTACCTTAATTAATCAATCAAGTACAAGGGAGGAGGTTTGGGAAACCCTGGTCTAGATCATGTGGGAGGTTGGGGAAGAAGGGGTAAAAGAAAAACAGATAATGGTTTTCACCAATGTCATATTCACTTATTGATTTTTCAAATACATGACATCACATAACTTTTTTTTCTATCTCAGTTTTTTGCTTTAGATTAGCTACTCTGTTCTAGCAACTAGAGAGAAACACTTATCACCCATTATCTCCTCATTTATGTGTTTCTTCATGGTATTGGAGCAGATATATATGTGACTGTACGATACGTTTGTACTCGTACCCGAGGAGGAGGAGGGTTCAGTGGGCTAGCCCCCTCCCTCATTCTCCTCCCAGTCCATAGCCAGCTATACTGCATGTACCATATACCTAAATGACATATTCTATACACTAAAGCCTGCCTCATAAGTGCATTGTTGTACGTCATAATGTTTCGTACCTCAATAGAAAAGCTCTCCCCTGCCTTAACGTCCCACCTTCACACAATTAAGGCACCGTTTACACCCCTGGGGGTCAATGGGTTCTTCTAATAAGAAGAGAAGCAACATCAACAACAACAACAGAACATGAACGACATGTAAAAACAAGTCAACAAAAGCAAAACATTAATGAAACATCAAATAATGTCTTGTGGGTAGGTGCTAAATGAAGTGTCCAGCCAATCACGCACCAGAGTTCTAAACACCAGAGTTCTGCAGGAGCGCACGACACGACACTGGTGCACGTGCCACTGAGTCGTCTTAACTGTGTCACCACGGCGACCCTGGGCCCAATTCCTGAACCCCAACAACTCACCATTCTCGAGCCCCTAGAATTAGTTAAGCCTTTCCCATCATTAGGGGCTGTGTGTTTGAGTCAGTAGCCTGTTGGGCTGAGTGTGTGTTGAGTCAGTAGCCTGTTGGGCTGAGTGTGTGTTGAGTCAGTAGCCTGTTGGGCTGTGTGTGTGTTTGAGTCAGTAGCCTGTTGGGCTGTGTGTGTATTTGAGTCAGTAGCCTGTTGGGCTGAATGTGTGTTTGAGTCAGTAGCCTGTTGGGCTGTGTGTGTGTTTGAGTCAGTAGCCTGTTGGACTGTGTGTGTGTTTGAGTCAGTAGCCTGTTGGGCTGAATGTGTGTTTGAGTCAGTAGCCTGTTGGGCTGAATGTGTGTTTGAGTCAGTAGCCTGTTGGGCTGTGTGTGTGTTTGAGTCAGTAGCCTGTTGGGCTGTGTGTGTGTTTGAGTCAGTAGCCTGTTGGGCTGAATGTGTGTTTGAGTCAGTAGCCTGTTGGGCTGTGTGTGTGTTTGAGTCAGTAGCCTGTTGGGCTGTGTGTTTGAGTCAGTAGCCTGTTGGGCTGAGTATGTGTTGAGTCAGTAGCCTGTTGGGCTGAATGTGTGTTTGAGTCAGTAGCCTGTTGGGCTGTGTGTGTGTTTGAGTCAGTAGCCTGTTGGGTTGTGTGTTTGAGTCAGTAGCCTGTTGGGCTGAGTATGTGTTGAGTCAGTAGCCAACTTTGAGATTGTTCTTGTTGAGCTCTCTCTCCAGGTTGCCTATGAGCGTGTCGATGCTCTCCTGCAGGTCTCGCAGGTTGACCCTGTTGCTGAGAACAGGGCTGATGTCCTGGATCTTCATGTAAGCCTGGTATGTGTGCTCTTTGGGGAGGTGGAGGGGCAGGATGCTCTCATCATCATCATCATCATCATCATCATCGTCAGCACACACTCTGTCGTCTGACGGCTGACCGCCACTGGAGACATCGCTCTCCTCCACTCTCTCCTCCTCTGCTTCTCTCTCCTCCACTCTCTCCTTCTCTGCTTCTCTCTCCTCTTCCTCCTTCTCTACAGGTCCCTCCATCACCTCATGTTCTGCTGTGGGTGGCTCTGCCTGTCCTTCCTTCTGTCCCCTGTCCAGTAATCCTTCCTGTCTCAGCTCCTCTCCCCACTCTTGCCCCCTGTCCTCTCCTTCCTGTCCCTCCTCAGTGACCTCCATATCCTCAGAAGGAACATCATCATAGTCATTCTCCTCCTGGGGCAGAGGAGGGGGGAAGTAGTGCTCTCCACAGCGGCTCCAGTCCCCGGCGTAACGGTTGCTAGGGCTGTCCAGTCGGCCCGGCCTGGGCCGCAGCACCCCGGCCATCTCTGCATCGCTCAAGTTCAGCACCTGGGGGCGCTCCTTCCTCCGACGCAGGGGTGGAGCGGCAGGCTGGTCGGCTGGGCCGGGATGCTCCAGGATGGGGGACGAGGTCTTGCCATGTGGGTCCACCACTATAAGGAGAGATGGAAAGACAGGGAGAGAGAAAGAAAGAGTTAGTTAAAGAGTAACCCGGAAGTTATTCAGTCACCAGTTAACTCCTGGTGTATGGCACAAGCTCGTCAAGCATTGCTGGTGCAAACCGATTATTCAAATCAAAAATATTATAATTTTCATTCAAGCACACTGTATACACAAGGTCCTCCTGGAGTTACAATCACAGTCTAAAGGTGGTATTTCAGACATTAACCCATGCCACGCTGCATAGACAAATGCCAAATCCACTCCAACACACTGTACTACTTCACTTCTACAGCTGTACATTTTACCTAGTCTTTAAATGTCTGTGAACTAACCCAACACACGTCCCTTCTGTGGGGTGAAGAAGGGGTAGGAGGGAATCACATGATATGAGCATGTCTGAGCTAAGGAGAATAACAGAACACCACAACCACCACAGCCCAGTTACCTGTCTGTCTCTCTGTGTTCCTAGTATACGGTGTCCCCCACAGTACACCTTTAGATACCGCCTACAGTCAGTGGCGGTATAAAACATAACAAAACAAACAAAAAACATTTCAGAGGTAAAACTGACATGTCCACTCACTGCAACAAAAAGCAACCAGTCAAGCAGCCAGTTTACATGAAACACCTTGAAACTCGACTTTACTGTTACAGCTATTTTATGCTGAAGGAAGGTAGAAAGTAAAGTACACACAGTGATACAGGAAAGCCAACAGCTGATTTTGATATCATACTGAGTGAATGCTTTCAATGAGACCCCCGTAATGCCGGCGTGTTGTGCACTTCTAACTCCTTTTAAACATTGTGTGTTTGAGCTACATACTTCTGTACCATTGGATTCGTATATTTCTTTTGCATCCGTAGATACCAACCATTTGTCTGTGTGATTAACTGGGGTTGAGCTAGAGCGGTATTTGTGAGACAAGGGCGGATCCCGAAGGGGTCTGCACCGGGTCTTTTTACAAAAACATCTGTACAGTCCGAATGGTTTGAGCTAAAAACTATTAAAAGCTGAGACTCTCACGAACACTGATATGTAACATGTTTTGCTCTATGACACTCACAAGCTACACAAGAGTTGTTAGAAGGTAAGGGGTTCTTCTACATAGATCATAGGAAATCCCAGGACATAGTGTCTATAATACTGAGTTGTTAGAAGGTAAGGGGTTCTTCTACATAGATCATAGGAAATCCCAGGACATAGTGTCTATAATACTGAGTTGTTAGAAGGTAAGGGGTTCTTCTACATAGATCATAGGAAATCCCAGGACATCGTGTCTATAATACTGAGTTGTTAGAAGGTAAGGGGTTCTTCTACATAGAAGATCATAGGAAATCCCAGGACATCGTGTCTATAATACTGTAATAAGCTCACATAGTTGCTGTATCAAACTCCAAACTCGTTGTCCTGAAAAGAAAATGGTAAAACACTTAATTGTGAGGCTAAATATAAGGACTGGACATGCAGATAAATGAAAGTCAGATAAATGAAAAGCCGATTTTTTCCAGAGTCTCGGCACCGTTAGGGATGAGAAACTGTTGATGAACAGATGATGACTGTGTTACAGCGTGTAGTAGATGTACAGTAGGAACGTTTTTATTTTCAGGGCTCAAGGAGGCATCTGCCATTGATCCAAGAATAAGCAAATAACCCCAAACCCCCTTCACCTCCACCCCTGAACTCCCCTCCACCCCATCCTGCCTGTACCACACACCCTTCTGGAAACTTCCAAATCCAGGGCTGCTCCCACTGTGCTGTCCCTGACCAGTTAAAAATATCCAGAGCCTCACACACCCCTCTCCTCTCCTCTCCTCTCCTCTCCTCTCCTCTCCTCTCCTCTCCTCTCCTCTCCTCTCCTCTCCTCTCCTCTCCTCTCCTCTCCTCTCCTCTCCTCTCCTCTCCTCTCCCCTACACTCATCCACTCTGCTATAGCGTGATCTCTCCCTGACCACCTGCTCTCTGCCCAAACACACACGCCCGCAAGCACACGTGCACACACACACAAGCACGCCCACACTCCCACACACGCACACACTCACCAGAAAAGCACAGCGGTCACCAAGGCCAATGAGTCACATACACAGACACATATCTGCCCACACACACACAGTCCATTAACACCCTCCTCCCCCATTGAAAACATAGCATGTACAGAGGCCAAACCAACTCTCCCAATCACACAACCCCAGAAACATACTCACACAACCCCAGAAACCCACTCACACAACCCCAGAAACACACTTACACAACCCCAGAAACCCACTCACACAACCCCAGAAAAACACTCACACAACCCCAGAAACACACTCACACAACCCCAAACACACACTCCCAATAACTCCAGAAACACACTCACATAACCCCAGAAACACACTCACATAACTCCAGAAACACACTCACATAACCCCAGAAACACACTCACATAACCCCAGAAACACACTCACATAACCCCAGAAACACACTCACATAACTCCAGAAACACACTCACATAACTCCAGAAACACACTCACATAACCCCAGAAACACACTCACACAACCCCAGACACACACTCACACAACCTATGCAACAATGCAGTGGAAGGTGTGGACCTCGTGAAGAGGCTGGACATATCCCATAATGGTTGTGAAATGTTAGGGCTAAGGACTGGAATATCCTTAAATTATAGACTGGCCACATTACACTCTGAGCTGAGAAAGGGGACATAAAGGACAGGAGGTGTGTGTGTGTGTGTGTGTGTGTGTGTGTGTGTGTGTGTGTGTGTGTGTGTGTGTGTGTGTGTGTGTGTGTGTGTGTGTGTGTGTGTGTGTGTGTGTGTGTGTGTGTGTGTGTGTGTGAGAGCACAGACGTGCGTGTCTATAACCATCGGGTTGTAGACCAGTCAAGATGCTAATTTCAGGCTTGGTCAAGGTTAGAGTTACTCACTTAGGACACACCTCTAGGCAGGGGTAGCAACTAACAAGGCGCAAAAACATGGGGGTTAGATGTCCCTTACACTACGCCATAGGTGGAGAGGGTACTAAAGGTCATGCCATAGGTGGAGAGGGTACTAAAGGTCATGTTTTAACAAAATCGTGCAGTTTGAGGCCATGTTGCGGAAAGTGATACGAGCGCTGGAGATAGGGGTGAAGGCTAGTGGGTCTGGGCAGGAGTGATGTAGTTGATGGAGATAGGGGTGAAGGCTAGTGGGTCTGGGCAAGGATGTGTGTAGTGTTGAGTGAGAGATAGGGGTGAGGCTAGTGGGTCTGGGCAGGAGTGATGTAGTTGATGGAGATAGGGGTGAGGCTAGTGGGTCTGGGCAGGAGTGATGTAGTTGATGGAGATAGGGATGAAGGCTAGTGGGTTTGGGCAGGAGTGATGTAGTTGATGGAGATAGGGGTGAAGGCTAGTGGGTCTGGGCAGGAGTGATGTAGTTGATGGAGATAGGGGTGAAGGCTAGTGGGTCTGGGCAGGAGTGATGTAGTTGATGGAGATAGAGGTGAAGGCTAGTGGGTCTGGGCAGGAGTGATGTAGTTGATGGAGATAGGGGTGAGGGCTAGTGGGTCTGGGCAGGAGTGATGTAGTTGATGGAGATAGAGGTGAGGGCTAGTGGGTCTGGGCAGGAGTGATGTAGTTGATGGAGATAGGGGTGAGGGCTAGTGGGTCTGGGCAGGAGTGATGTAGTTGATGGAGATAGGGGTGAGGGCTAGTGGGTCTGGACAGTAGTGATGTAGTTGATGTTTGTATGATGTCGTCATTTGTATGTTGTATGTTTTGTACTGTTGATAAAATATCAAATAAAATCATATACAAATAAATAAAAGAAAGGTCACGTTTTAACACCCGTTAATAAGCAGAATGGGGTTCAATTTGGAGGGCAGGGACAGCGAGGTGAATAAAGATCAGCTGCTTGCCTTGCATGTACAGTGCATTCAGAAAGTATTCAGACCCCTTGACTTTTTCCACATTTTGTTACGTTACAGCCTTATTCTAAAATTGATTAAATAAATTTTTTCCTCATCAATCTACACACAATACCCCATAATGACAAAGTGAAAACAGGTTTTTAGAAATTTTAGCAAATGTAATACATATAAAAAAACAGAAATACCTTATTTACATAAGTATTCAGACCCTTTGCTATGAGACTCGAAATTGAGCTCATGTGCATCCTGTTTCCATTGATCATCCTTGAGATGTTTCTACAACTTGATTGGAGTCCACCTGTGGTAAATTCAATTGATTGGACATGATTTGGAAAGGCATACACCTGTCTATATCAGGTCCCACAGTTGACAGTGCATGTCAGAGCAAAAACCAAGCCATGAAGTTGAAGGAATTGTCCGTAGAGCTCCGAGACAGGATTGTGTCGAGGCACAGATCTGGGGAAGGGTACCAAAAAATGTCTGCAGCATTGAAGGTCCCCAAGAACACAATGGCCTCCATCATTGTTAAATGGAAGAAGTTTGGAACCACCATGACTCTTCCTAGAGCTGGCCGACCGGCCAAACTGAGCAATCGGGGGAAAAGGGTCTTGCTCAGGGAGGTGACCAAGAACCCGATGGTCACTCTGACAGAGCTCCAGAGTTCCTCTGTGGATATGGGAGAACCTTCCAGAAATACAACCATCTCTGCAGCACTCCACCAATCAGGCCTTTATGGTAGAGTGGCCAGACGGAAGCCACTCCTCAGTAAAAGGCACGACAGCCCGCTTGGAGTTTGCCAAAACGCACCGAAAGGACTCTCAGACCATGAGAAACAAGATTCTCTGGTCTGATGAAACCAAGATTGAACTCTTTGGCCTGTTTTTCAGCGGCAGGGACTGGGAGACTAGGCAGGATCAAGGGAAAGATGAACGGAGCAAAGTACAGAGAGATCCTTGATGAAAACCTGCTCCAGAGCGCTCAGGACCTCAGACTGGGGTGAAGGTTCACCTGTCAACAGGACAACGACCCTAAGCACACAGCCAACACAATGCAGGAGTCGTTTCGGGACAAGTCTCTGAATGTCCTTGAGTGGCCTGGCCAGAGCCCGGACATGAACCCGATCGAACATCTCTGTCGAGACCTGAAAATAGCTGTGCAGCAACGCTCCCCATCCAACCTGACAGAGCTTGAGAGGATCTGCAGATAAGAATGGGAGAAACTCCCCAAATACAGGTGTGCCAAGCTTGTAGCGTCATACCCAAGAAGACTCAAGGCTGTAATTGCTGCCAAAGGTGCTTCAACAAAGTACTGAGCAAAGGGTCTGAATACTTATGTAAATGTGACATTTCCGTTTTTTTTTTTATACATTTGCAAACATTTCTAAAAACCTGTTTTTGCTTTGTCATTATGGGGTATTGTGTGTAGATTTATGAAGGGAAAAAAACAATTTAATCAATTTTAGAGTAAGGCTGTAACGTAACACAATGTGGTAAACGTCAAGGGGTCTGAATACTTTCCGAATGCACTGTATAAGGGAAATCAAGCTTAAGCGATACACCATTCAGCTTACGTAAACAACACTATGAAGTTAAATCCAGTTAGTGCAGTTGGAATGTTAGTGATCTGAGGGGATCAGACAGGTTCAGCCTTAGAGCCTTCTCTTTTCCATCCTCCTCAGACTTAAACAATAACATAGGCAGAACATCCATCGGCACAGGCTTTGACATCCAAACCGCCTAGCAACCCTACACTTATACCCCTCTCTCTCTCATATCCCTCCCTATATCCCTGTACTCTACGGTGCGTATCTGTTCTCATATCACCGTGCACACAAAGAAGACAGCTGCTGAGAGCAGAACAGTTGGACAGGGAGACAAATGACCAACCATAGAGCCACAGTTGGTCCAGGGTGTCTGTCTGCATCCCAAACAGCACCCTATAGGGTATCAAGCCACTCTGCCCAGAGCGGGTGAAAACGCGCTTTGGTGATGAAATTTCACATCCTTATGTTGTAAAATAAATTTTACCAAGACAAATATGATTATTCATGTTTTGAATCGTTCAGTGTGGTCTTTCTCGAACATATCATTAACATTATATAATAAAGTCGGATTTCGTAACCTAATACATCCGATAATAAGCCCTGAGCTCTGTTGACATAGCAGTGCAGGTTTCTCGTAACATCTTTTGAGAATGTTCCATGTTGTGGTCGTCATCTTCAAAGTTGTTTCCATGGGTCACAAAAAGCAGACTTAGCATGACACGAGCTGAAATAACTGTAAAAGGCTTTGAAAATAAAAAGCTTAGTATACGCTCAGTGCTCCGTTGATATTTCACAGAGATACGATTGTTTTTGTGAGAAATCTTTGAAAAAGAACAGGAATTTCGAATTAATATGAAAAGTGTATACTAAAATATGAAAATGCTACATGCATGTCTCAAAATCGATATCCATCTTACCTCTATACTGTTTTATGTTCTGCGGATTCGAGAAGAAAGATGACGAGTTCAAAAGGAAAGTGAGCCTGTCAGGTAGCTTTAATTCTTGCACAGAATCCAGCCTAGCTGACGCGAAGCAATATTCCAGATTCTTTTACCACTTTTTTTCTCTGGCCTCCATTTATTTAATCACCCTAATTCTGGCCATGCTACAAGTGTAAAAACTTCAATAACGTTTGAACGGATTATGATAGAGACAAGAAGTTTGGACCATTGGTTTTTCTAGAGAATTACAGTGCATTCTAAAAAATATTCAGACCCCTTGACTTTTTCCACATTTTGTTACATTACAGCCTTATTCTAAAATGTATTAAATTATTTATTTTTCTCATCAATCTACACACAATACCCCATAATGTCAAATTTTTGCAAATGTATTAAAAATAAAAAACAGAAATACCTTATTTGTGACTTGTTTCAGGAAACAAGGCGTATGTCACACGTCACTACTTCACAGGAGCGGCATTTGAACGTAAATATTTATTTATTTATCAAAATGCGTTTTTTGGCAGAAATGCCTTCTGGAACATGTGAACTTTTATGTGCCTTAATAACAAACTTGTATTCCATCCATAAATACGAATACAATTGTTAAATTACGAGCCTAGTTGGTTTAGCCACAGAAAAAGACAGGAAACTTCCCGCTAGCCATGATTGGCTGAGATAATGGTTGGGCTGGACGTGCCGGGAGATGAGTTTGGATTGGTCTGCCATGTAGCATGCTTCTGTCTGTAACGTGAGCTGTTCAGTATGTGTTGACAGTCCTTTCGACCGCACCGTTTTTGAAAGATATAACGTTAGCCATCGAGAACTACAAAAGTTTTGCTACTTTTCTCAACAATATTGATGCCCTGAATTTAGCAGGCGCTATCGACAGATCAGTTGGAAAAAGTGATGGGCTACTTTCTGCACACGCCATGGTCAGTGTTAACCGGAGTGACATGACACAACTGTCACGACTTGCCCTCATGGGTTGAGGATCAAACATGCTGGCTAGGCAAAGGTTTGAACACCCCCTTTCCTGGAGGCCAGTTTTATGACCGGTCGTAAATACCGTGCAGACTTTCTCTTCTTTGCCATGAAGTATTGGGAGAAAGGACCCCTTTGTTAACAAAGGAAGTCTTCCCGCCAAGACTCCAACATCCAAAAGTGGATAATGAAACAATATTCCTACTTAAAATAATGTGGGAAATGGTTGGTGGGGACTTAAAGAACAATCATGTCAAATTCGTTACTATGTTGTAATGTCATTAAAGACGGTGAAACAACAGAACTGTATCTCTAGGGGTCTACACTTCCCAGTTATGAGGTTTGCATCTAATTGTTGTATAAAACGAATGATTAAGTATAATAATACTTTTGTGAAGATCACAATGTGATTTTAGCATTCTAGATGAGATGATTGTTTTCCATATTGATTTGTTCTCAGTCAGTGGCCACGCCTAGATGAGCACACGCCCCTTTTACCCCGAGTGCATAAAAATCCTTGTGACGAAATTCACCTCAGACCAGCAGACGTGGATGGTTGAAACGCTACAGACCAGCAGACGTGAAGAGTGAGCCAAACGTTGCAAATGGTTGAATTTCTACCAGACCGGCAAGCCCCACGGCTTAAAATGGTTGAAACGCTACAGACCAGCAGACGTGAAGCGTGAGCTAAACGTTGCACATGGTTGAATTTCTACAAGACCAGAAAACGTGAGACGTTAGTCCCCACGTTTTTAAATGGAGAAACTCAAACTCTCAACCTCTACACGAGGTGAAGAAGAAGACAATGCACTAGACCTTATCATTTCAGTCTGCAGCTGGCATGTATAGTCGTCTAGAGAACTTTCACTAAAGACACGAGATAGAGGACAATCCCTCTCCGACAACCGCTGGTAGATCTGAAGTATCCATTCTAACCATAAACTCTACCAAGGACATTGAGATCTCTGGTGGGCAAACCAGAGTCCTACATCATCAACTCAACTATCGAGGACATCAACACGTAAATACATGTTACATTTCTAATCCGAATTAGCGATTATTAGGTTGCATAAATATTATGATTACTGTGAGCGTAGTTTCCAAAGTAACTATGATAGTTTGAATCTCTGTCTCTCCTTTCCATTCTGACCCCTCCAATACCCAACCATTCATGCTAATGTTAGTCCAGTCCACTAGGGACCTGTTTTCATTGTATTATGTTAGTAATCAATAACCTATGTGTGTTTGTATTGTGTTATTATTTAGTTAGTTAGTAAATAAATAATTAAGCCAATTTGTGTATTGCTGATTCAACAATATGGTTAGGGTTCTTGCAGGTTCCAGGATTATGCGACGTTCAGAATGAGACTGATCATTCAGACAGGTCATTATTTAATAAGTGACTGTTATCGATATATAACATTTGTATCTTCTAAGAGTTTAATTCGGGAAATGGTAACTCGTTAAACAACTTATTCCATGGTGCCCCAAATTCCTAATGAGTTAATTGTTACATGATTAATTGAATCGAGTGACAATTAAACATAGATAGGTGATTCGATAAATAACATTCATACATTAAAGTAAGCCACATCACGATACAACACTGGCCAAACAAGATGTAGCTACAAACAAAACGGAGTTAAATGGTTCCAGTCTGCCGTGAAGCGTTCATTTATGTATACAGGTAAGGGTCTAGCTACATTTTCAGATATACGTTTCTAATTTTGTTAGAAAGTCATTTTTATTGCAAGTTAAAGTGTACTGTTAGTTAGCTAGCAAACGTTAGCTTGCTGGCTCGCTTGCTGGCTCGCTTGCTAATGTTACGTGTATGACCTGTGTAGTAATATTATTCAAATCAGAAATTCCATTTGCCTTGCTAGTTATAGCCTAATGTTAGCTAGCTAACATTGAACCTAGTTTGTTAGCTTTAGCTACCTGCAGATTCATACTACAGATTCATACTACAGCTATGACAATGTTTGTATTGGTAGTAGTATGAGTTGGGATTATGCTGGTTCATTGTTTAGCTAGCTACATGTCTAAACAAAAGACTCCATTACGGCCGGATTATTACATCCATCAAATTAGCCATGTGTGTCTGGGGGTGATTACGACCATCTATTGTATTTCATGAACATGTGTACATGTCTAGACAATAGTGACCCATCCACTTAGCTAGATGTGGCTGAGGGGTGGTTATAGCATTTCCTTCACATGACCCATCAATTTTGACTAGTGTGTCGAGTAAGTGTAATCTAATAATGATAAAATATTTATAAAATATTTTTATCTGGACACTTTCTGTTTTTGATATTGCTACTATGCAAGTATCCACTTCACTGTACCGTTTACACCTTCTGTATCCTGTGCATGTGACAAATAAACTTTGATTTGATTTGATATAGCATGTGTTTACCACATGGCCTCACATGTGAATCCTTAAAGAGATGGGTGGGGCTAAGGGTGTGAACGATGCTGAATGGGTGTAGACAAAGAAGAGCTCTCCAGTAGTTCTACCAAAACATTCAAGGACCATTGTCTCAAAAGTGGGGTTACAAGTTTATCAACTTTCAAAGCAGAATTACTTTCCCATTGTTCCTCAACTGCAGTGTATGATATACCATTTTCGATTTTTTAGCTCTGAGTCTCTACTTTTATCCAATGTAAAAAACACAATTTCAAATTTTGCTACATAAGACCGAATCGAGGCGGTCGGTCACATTTCATTTACATAAGCATTCAGACCCTTTGCTATGAGATTCGAAATTGAGCTCAGGTGCATCCTATTTCCATTGATCGTCCTTGAGATGTTTCTAAAAATTGATTGGAGTCCACCAGTGGTAAATTCAATTGATTGGACATGATTTGGAAAGGCACACACCTGTCTACATAAGGTCCCACAGTTGACAGTGCATGTCAGAGCAAAAACCAAGCCATGAGGTCGAAGGAATTGCCCGTAGAGCTCCATGACAGGATTGTGTCGAGGCACAGATCTGGGGAAGGGTACCAAAACAAGAAGACTCAATGCTGTAATTGCTGCCAAAGGTGCTTCAACAAAGTACTGAGCAAAGGGTCTGAATACTTATGTAAATGTGAAATTTCCGTTTTTTTTTTAATACATTTGCAAACATTTCTAAAAACCTGTTTTTGCTTTGTCATTATGGGGTATTGTGTGTAGATTTATGAAGGGAAAACACTATTTAATCAATTTTCGAATAAGGCTGTAACATAACAAAATGTGGATAAAGTCATTGGGTCTGAATACTTTCCAAATGCACTGTATCTACACAATTAACATATTATTTTACCCATTGGTCAAAATATGCGTTTTTGATTGGACACTTTACACCCTATTCCCTTTATAGTGCACTTCTTTTGACCAGGGCCCATAGGGCTCTGAACAAAATTAGTGAACTATATAGGAAATAGGGTGCCATTTTGGACGCATTCTCTGGACAGTGATTTAAATAAAAGCGGCGCTACCAACTGAGCTTGGTTTACAATAAGGCTTTGGCCCTCCCAATATGATGAAGCACTCTGTGGAGCATTTCATCTATGACGATCGAACAGATGGCAGCGAATGGCTAATTGCTGTGTGTGTGTGTCAGCCAAGCCAAACCACCAGAGATCAAAGCACCAGCCCAGCCTTTTAAAGTCATGTTTGGAACAGAACCACAGCGCTAGGAGCAATTTGCACTAGAAAGCAGTTCCACCAACATAGTGCCCTTCTAGGAAATGTCTTGTCTGATTTTGGGTGAGTGCTTTTTAAAGTCTGTACAATGTAATTAGTTGTTTATTAAGTTGTTGGCTCAGTGATTCATATTCACAGACTGCCTGATTTAAAAGCCTCATACATTCACTGCAAGAGAAATGACCTAGTAATGAACCTAGTCATTAATCAACTATAAAAGACTGCTAAATCCAGAGGTACTACATGGTCCTACAGGATGAAGTTGACTGGATATGAATTTATCCCTGTCCAAGATGGCTGCCATTATCCGCTACATTCTAGAGTTATGAAGGTTTATGACATAGGTCACTCTAGTAATATTGTATCTCTATGGTGGAGGTTACCTGGCCATAGCTGCAGAAGGTAGTGCAGCACCTCGATGTGCTTCTTAAAGTGCAGGGCACTGGCCAGCTCTTCTGAGTCGATGAAGACGCGGTTGCTATGGCAGCTGGCCTCCTGGCGTTGGCTGAGCAGCACGGGGCCGAAGCACACCGCCAGGTTCTGACACGTCATCTTGTTGACCTCGTGGTGCGACGCCACCAGCTTCAGGTGGTCCAGCAGCCTCCGCAGGGTCAACTGGGGTCACACAGACAGAGAGCATGCTGGGTCAGGGCAGGCTAACACAACTGTACTGCGCTGCCTCTGATATTTTCTTTTTTTACAGCATGGTTCCAGAAACTACGGGGGGGGGGGTTCGTAATCAGGCCAGCTCAGTACAGCTTGGTTTGGCTCAGGTACGGCTCAGTAGTTTGAAAAGCTCTTAAAAGGATCTTCTCCTTACCCTCTCCACCTCTGGCAGGTTCTCCAGCAGGCTGACAGTCTGTTCCGTGTCTGCCAGGTCGTTCTCACATCCTCCTGCTCCAATACGCAGAGGCCTCTTAGCCATGGAGTCTAACACAGCCTCATACAGGTGCTTAGTGATGAGGGGGTAGGGCAACTCACGCAGGTAGTCCTTCAGCACACCTGGAGATAGGGAGGGATGGACAGACAGAGAGAGAGAGAGAGAGGGGGGAAGAGAGGAGGGAGAGAGAGACAGAGGGAGGAGAGAGAAGGAGAGCATGAGAAACCCTTTATGGAATGAACAGAATAATAAACTCTGATTATAACAACTCCGATAATGATGATGACAGCAACCAGATGTTACTTCAGAGGGCAGCAAAGATTTTCACCAGAAAGGAGACCATGAACGACACCACTGTCTGTCTGTGCCCTCTGGACCTGATTCAGCCTTGATCAGCTTGGCTTCAGATGCTTTTTCCACAGCTCAATAGAGTGAAATACAGTACCTCTTATGTACTTCACAAGACAGCTTAAATACCTGACGAATTGCTAACAATATAATCTTTATGAAGAGTCGTTATTGAGAAACCAAAGGCTTTTCTTCTCCCTTACTTTTATACAGCAGGCTGGGCCTGGCACACACTCTGCTGTCTGCCAAGGCTTTTAGGACCCATTGTTGTGGTGGGCTCTGTTCTGGGGGCGTCTAGGGCGGTGCCTGATTGGAATCGGGCGTGACATGGCAGCCTGAGAATGTGGAAGAGGGAGTGGGGGGGTCTCGGTTCTGTGATGGCGAGGACTTTTACACCTGTAACTCCCCAGCTACATTCAGCCTCCAACAGGCCCAGACAAAAGAGGCGAGCAAACATCAAACCCACACTGTCTATCTCCACTAAGCCCCCCTAAAAGTATTTTATTTTCATGAAGGGCGAGGAGAACAAATAACAGACAAATATGGAAATAAAGAAAGAAGTCTTGGCAGCGTGTCAATTCTTAGCGGTGGAATGGATTGTTATTATTATATTTTTTCTGTGCGTAACTAGCTATCGGTTTTCAGAGTAGAGCTTTGAGCTTGGCAGTCAGTGGGTCCTCAGTGACTTGGAGACAGAGACTGAGGCTGTTTCAGTTAGTAACTACTACAGGACCATTACCATATAAAGACAACTTCAGTTCAGACGCATTTATGTGACTAGATTGACAATAACAACCAGATTAAGCCACTGTAAATAGAGCTGCTTAGTCAATTAAGCATGGCATATAACCCGGGAATCAGTACACTTAATTACAGTTCTCCAGAGTATAACTACAGTATAACTACACAGGTATAAGAAGAACTTGTAAATTGTTACCCATATTTTATTTCTAACATACCTCATTACAACTCACGGTCTAGTAGTCTTCCCTAACAGCTTTATAGGGGAAATAAGAGCATGAATCAATGTTCACTTTTTAATCCTGTCCAATCCCGTTGTCCACTTAAGGAAGAGGGAGTCATTAACTCAATGCTGTCCAGTCTATTTCAGACTGCCTGGTATAATCTCTATCCATGCTACCCACTAATCCAGATAGAAACAAGCATGAAACAAAGAGCAGATTGAAGGCAAACTGGGGATCTGGGATTAGGCTGCTTTTTAGTGTATAGAATAACCAGCATTTCCTCCCCAGAGATGGACTAATAAAGTACTATTCTATTCTATTCTCCTTCCAGAGCATGTGGTCTGGCGGGAATGCAGTAGGTGGACTCCTGTTGACAGAGTGATGTAGATTCAGTCCTGTTGACAGAGTGATGTAGATTCAGTCCTGTTGACAGAGTGATGTAGATTCAGTCCTGTTGACAGAGTGATGTAGATTCAGTCCTGTTGACAGAGTGATGTAGATTCAGTCCTGTTGACAGAGTGATGTAGATTCAGTCCACTGTTGACAGAGTGATGTAGATTCAGTCCTGTTGACAGAGTGATGTAGATTCAGTCCACTGTTGACAGAGTGATGTAGATTCAGTCCTGTTGACAGAGTGATGTAGATTCAGTCCTGTTGACAGAGTGATGTAGATTCAGTCCTGTTGACAGAGTGATGTAGATTCAGTCCTGTTGACAGAGTGATGTAGATTCAGTCCTGTTGACAGAGTGATGTAGATTCAGTCCTGTTGACAGAGTGATGTAGATTCAGTCCTGTTGACAGAGTGATGTAGATTCAGTCCTGTTGACAGAGTGATGTAGATTCAGTCCACTGTTGAAAATTCAGCGCGTGCAATGATGTCCGAGGTGAAAAAACAGTGTCTGTTGTTTTCAGTAACTTCTTTGTTGTTATAATATCACAAACCGACGTGGCTGTTTCAACATGAAGGATTCCAGCTTCAAACACACTGGCAAGAGCATAGTATACAGTTACAGGCTTGTGGTAAGACTATCAACAACCACTACACTGGGTGGGAATTTACTAAACTAATCTGAAGAAAATATGTATTGTGGGAGCCTATGTTAAAGATTTATACATACTGTATGTTCTTTAAAGTTTTTGCTGTGTCAGAAAGGATTTCCTTCCTATATCGCTCCTGCCCTACAGTAGATAAATTGTCATAAAACTCATGGTGCGTGACCGTTTCTTTCCCTTCCTCTGAGCCTAACTCAGGTCTGTTTTTCACAACAGGAGTCAGAGTCTGAGCCCCCTCCATAACTGTACTCAAGACCCAACATGCCTCAACATAGCAGTGCAGAGGAGAGAGTCTGCCGTCTGTGCATTCCTACACCAAACAGCCGTGGCGGTGCCGCAGATTTTATTTGACTGAAAAAACAACTAAGTCTGCTGTGTCAAGCAATCACAGTAGGCACTTAAAGCATCATCCCCCCTCTCTCTCTCTCTCTCTCTCTCTCTCTCACTATCTCTTCTTCTCTCTCCCTCCCCCCTCTCCCTGAATGTGCAGTGTTTGATAAGGACAGATAAAGGAGAGATAAATGTAACTCGGTTTTACTTTGTAGATCTCTGAATACTTCCTTAGACACACTGATTTCCCAGACAGATAGATGCAGTGTTTGTGAACATCCTCACGAAAACAAATAGATTTATCAACTTCAGTTTAATCTAGTTATTCCATCGCTGAAGAACATGGTGCTAGTACCAACTTTGAAATGCAATGTGACAATGAAAATAACTATTTTTTTTACTACTGACCACAAATAATGTTTATAGGTTTTCACTTCCACCACCTTAATGACCTCTCAAAGTGTGAACACAACACACCCATAACTCAATACACACAAATATTCTCTATTTTCCCTTCTGCAGTAGTTTTGATATAAACACTGGTCCCACTGTGTGTGTGCGTGTGTGTGTAGTGACTCAGAGCAGAGAGAATGCAGCCATTATGTGTGGGGTAAATTATTAGCCTGCTATGACTCAGCTCTGTGTTTACACTGCCGTTGGAGTGCCTTAACCCCTGTTGGGGCCTGACACGCACATGCACACACACACACACACACACACACACACACACACACCAGGCAAGGTCATGCTCAGGGTTGAACAGGTGGCTTTCCTCTGCAGGTGTTACCTTTATTTTCACAGCCTGTGATGTGTCAGGCAACAAACACATCATGGAGAGGAGGACTGTTGTTGTTCAGGGAAGGTGTTTGGGTTTTTCAGGGAAGGTGGTTTGGGATTTTACTGTAAGGGAATTGGTGGCAGAAATTAACTTTGAGTTGCTAGAGAAATGTGTTGTGTTTTTGGTCAAATGTTTAGTCATTGACGGGCAAATCTCATACAAATACGGTTTCTTACAACTGACATTGTAGACTTTTGCAGCATCCATACACTACAAGACCCATACTGCAATGGTCCAACACCTTTGACCTCTTGTTCAAACAAAACTACAGGTCACTGCTGCCGTCGGTTGGTGCCGCCCTAAAGGAACAAATAGGGGCTTGTTCTCCCCTACGAACACCTGCCTTCTCCTCACACCCCCAGATCAGTAGAGAGGGGGCCAGAGGGGGTGTACAGGACAGGGGGCGGTGCATTGCTTTGCCCTGCCCAGTCCTTGGTGTTGCCCGCTTCTCTCTCTGACACCCACCCACTCACACTGGACCAGGACTGTATGTGTTTGTATGGCGGGTCCTCCCTGCCTCCTGGTCGGCATAGAGTTCAGCTAAGCCACCATGCGTCCACTTAGCCAAATACCATCTGTGTGTGTTCGGCATCAAAGGGGGCACTATTAATGACTTTCCATGTATTCACTGCATGGGGAGGGCTGGACTGGAGGACTGGAAGGGAAGCTAGCTGGGCTGCAAACTAGGCTCTTTATCCTTGTTAACAAACTAACAAGTGAAAAGGGAGTCTCTTAAATCAGATGCAATTTCAGAGTTTTTCGTTTCTAAACTTTGTGATGACCTTCGTCGGAGCAACTAGCAACTCATCACACGCACTGACTCTAACTAAGCCCAAAACACTATCTTCCCTTTCACTGAGAGGAGGGAAATTACACAGATTTCCCATCAACCCTTGCTCTGTTCTGTTCCTTTTAAAACACATCACTGAGGCTTCTTGTTGTGTTGGCTTCCTGCCAAGAAAAAGGTTGATAGATGGGGTTCTCAGATAACTGTCCACTGTCCATGCAATAGCTACCAGGTGGAGCAACAACATCAGTTTAAGCTACAATGATCCTCGTACAGTCTCATTGCTGTGTTACATAGACTATAAATATATGATATTTCAAGAATAACTTAAAAATGGCAGATGCTGTGACTGACCTAGTCGGCCTCTCAACTGCCTCTCTGTGTTAAGCATGGCGTTCTCTGAGATCAGAACCAGAGGAGTCTGAAGTAATGCCTGGCCGGTGACTGAAACACACCACCGTGACTAAAACTAAAATGAGCTGCTTGTCCCTCCATCTGTGCTCCTGACCGAAGGGCCTGGGGGGCTGAGGGGCGGGTCTGTGGACACTGGGTCCTGCCAAACCCCCCCCAGCCCTGGAGGAATGTCCCTGAGTCAAAGGGGGCTAAAGAGAGAGAGCTCCTGCCCCCCTCCACCATCCTTCTTGATTTAAGTCACATCCCAGCTGTCAACACTGATTCAATTACAGTAGAGACCTACACCATCTAGACTCCTGTTGTCATCCATGTTAACATACATACAACTTCTGAATGTACTGACAAGTCACTTTGTAATGTTAATACAAAAACAATCTGTACCAAAAAAATACTGTATCGCAAGAAACAATGGAACTCAGAAATTCTGCTGCCTGAGACAAAAAGAGCCATTGGCTACATTCAGTTAATGTACGTTACTATAACAATTCTGTATTCAGAGCAAGACAATCATGATGAGGCTGTTTTGTGGAGTTGTTTCCTTTGTCTGGGATCATGGTTTGAAACAAAGGAAGGCCACACAGTTCACATGTTTTGCAAGCTTTGGATTGAACTTTGACACAGGGTAATCCCTTTCAATACATCTGCCTTTTAAATTAGCCGGGTGACAACCAATCCTCGCCGCCTCCTCTTAGCTCATCCATTTGGCCTGCTTATTAGCTAACCTCTCTGTCTCTCCTTCCGGCTGACCTGACTCCACTCAAACCACCAACCCCCATACCCCACCCCCTTCTATCTTTCACTGCTTTAAGCCCAGCCCTGCCTACCCCAGGACAACCACCCTTCCCCCTCGCTCTCGCTCCCTCCCTCCACTCCCTCAGCCCATCTGCAACAGCCACACACTCGGCAGAGTAAATTTAGACAGCAAGCAAAAACCAACAATCCACACTGGTGCTGGCCCTTTTTTTCTAACCCGCTCAACTGTTAACTGTGTTCTTTGCCCTGCCATGCTAATGCATTTGGATCAAAGCAGGCATGATACGAGGACGCCTATATGGGCCTCTTTCCAAAACCAACAGCAGCTCCCACAATGCCAAGGGGCTTCCATGGTCTTCCTCTTTTTCGGTGGGAGAAGAAAAAAAGAATCCATGAGCAAGTATTTTTATTTAGTATTTTTCTCTTAACTGTTGCCCCTCCCCTGTCTATTCCCGGAATCTGTATTCATTGGTTAGCTGAAGTGACATTGCAGGCATGCTCTAGAAGTTCACAGATCATTGGGGTTGTTTAGCTAATTTGATCAGGCTAACATCCTTCTGCAGGCTGCAGCGTACTCATATACGCATTGAATGAGGGGAATATTGGACATTGACTCCAGTCCCAACATGTCCAGGTAGAACAGACACACATATTTTGCCAGTGAAATAGTTTTGTCCTAGTTTGTCACTGACACTGATAGAAACCAGGAATTACAGTACTTCGAGCATGAGTGAAACTGGGTTACAGTCCTCTGCTAGTTTTTTAAAAATGTGTAAATAATGGTAACGCTCAGTGTGTGAGTTATGTTCAGGAGTCTCTGTGTGTGTGTGTGTGTGTGTGTGTGTGTGTGTGTGTGTGTGTGTGTGTGTGTGTCAGAGCGGGGGTGGTCAGAGCGTGTGGCATGTCTAAACCTGGAGGAGAGGAATGAAGGAATGACCTAAATGCATGTTGTCCTGGATGGTTGGTTGGCTGATGTGAGGGCTCTCCCCTCAGGCACTCTCACATCCTGATGGTATGCTGACTGGAATGCTTTTGCAACAAACAAAGACATGCACGTAAGCATGCATGCATGCACACGCACACACACGTACATGCAAACGCACACACACATGCACAGACTCGTGTGACGTGTGTACAGTGCCCTCAGAAAGCATTCATACCCCTAACCTTTTTCACATTTTGTTTTGTTACAAAGTGGGATTAAAATTGATTGAATTGTCATTTTTGGTCAACGAGCTACACAAAATACTCTGTAATGTCAACATTTCTAAAAAATATATGAAAAATAAAACTTGAATATATCTTGATTAGAAACGTATTCAACCCCCTGAGTCAATACATGTTAGAATCACTTTTAGCAGCGATTACAGCTGTGAGTCTTTCTGGGTAAGAGCTTACCACACCTGGATTGTACAACATTATTATTTCAAAATCCTTCAACCTCTGTCAAATTGGTTGTTGATCATTGCGTGGCGCAGTGGTCTAAGGCACTGCATCGCAGTGCTAGCTGTGCCACTAGAGATCCTGGTTCGAATCCAGGCTCTGTCGTAGCCGGCCGTGACTGGGAGACCCATGGGGCGGCGCGCAATTGGCCCAGCGTCGTCCAGGGTAGGGGAGGGAATGGCCGGCAGGGATGTAGCTCAGTTGATAGAGCATGGTGTTTGCAACGCCAGGGTTGTGGGTTCGATTCCCACAGGGGGTATGAAAAAAATTAAATAATGTAAGTCGCTCTGGATAAGAGCGTCTGCTAAATGTAAATGTAAATATTGCTAGACAACAATTTTCAGGTCCCTCCATAGATTTTCAAGCAGATTTAAGTCAAAACTGTAACTCGGCCAACATTCACTGTCTCCTTGGTAAGCAACTCCAGTGTAGATTTGGCCTTGTGTTTTAGGTTATTGTTCTGCTGAAAGGTGAATTCATCTCCCAGTGTCTGGTGGAAAGCAGACTGAACCAGGTTTTCCTCTAGGATTTTACTTAGCTCCATTATTTTCTAACTTGAAAAACTCCACAGTCCTTAACGATTACAAGCATACCCATAATGTGATGCAGCCACCTCTATGATTGAACATTTGGAAAGTGGTACTCAGTAATGTGTTGTATTGGATTTGCCCCAAACATAACACTTTGTATTCAGGACAAAATGTGAATTGCTTTGCCACATTTTTTGCAGCATTAATTTAGCGCCTTGTTGCAAACAGGATGCATGTTTTGGAATATTTTGATTCTGTACAGGCTTCCTTATTTTCACTCTGTCAATTAGGTTAGTATTGTGGAGTAACTACAATGTTGTTGACCCATCCTCAGTTTTCTCCTATTTACATTTATGTCATTTAGCAGACACTCTTATCCAGAGCGACTTACAGTTAAGTGAGTGCATACATTATTTTTTATTTTTTCATACTGGTCCCCCGTGGGGGTGAAATCCCTGAGCGGTTTCCTTCCTCTTCGGCAACTAGGTTAGGAAAGACACCTGTATCTTTGTAATGACTGGGTGTATTGATACACCATCCAAAGTGTAATTAATAACTTCCCCATGCTTAAAGGGATATTCAATGTCTGCTTTTTTATTTTTACCCATCTAACAATAGGTGCCCTTCTTTGCGTGGCATTGAAAAACCTCCCTGGTCTTTGTAGTTAATCCTGTGTTTGGAATTCACTGCTCGACTGAGGGACCTTACAGATAATTGTATGTGTGGGGTACAGAGACGAGGTAGTCATTAAAAAATCATGTTAAACACTATTATTGCACACAGAGTGAGTCCATGCAACTTTTTATGTTACTTTTTAAGCACATTTTTACTCTAACTTATTTAGGCTTGCCATAACAAATGGTTTGAATACTTACTGACTCAAGACATTTCATATTTTAATTATTTATTAATTTCTAAAAAATAAAATAAAAAATAATAATCCACTGACATTATGTGGTATTGCGTGAAGGCCAGTGACCAAAAAATCTAAATTTAATCAATTTTAATTCAGACTGTAACACAACAAAATGTGGAAAAATAAAGTGGTGTAAATACTTTCTGAAGGCACACACAGCAAAGGTTTTAACAGGTGTTACAGGACAGAGGTTCTGATGCTGTTTGCAGTGTAATATTACCTGTGATGACGTTGATGTCAGGGTAGGTGTTTTCACAGAGCTCCACTCCCAGGCTGTCCCTCTCAAAGGCCTCCCGAAGCTCCTTCTTTACTGCCGCTGAACCACATAGACGGTAGAGGCCCACAACCTGCAGAAACACACACAACCAGGTTAAATACACACAACCTGCAGAAACACACACACAACCAGGTTAAATACACACAACCTAGCAGAAACACACACAACCAGGTTAAATACACACAACCTGCAGAAACACACACAACCAGGTTAAATACACACAACCTGCAGAAACACACACAACCAGGTTAAATACACACAACCTGCAGAAACACACACAACCAGGTTAAATACACACAACCTGCAGAAACACACACAACCAGGTTAAATACACACAACCTGCAGAAACACACACAACCAGGTTAAATACACACAACCTGCAGAAACACACACAACCAGGTTAAATACACACAACCTGCAGAAACACACACAACCAGGTTAAATACACACAACCTGCAGAAACACACACAACCAGGTTAAATACACACAACCTGCAGAAACACACACAACCAGGTTAAATACACACAACCTGCAGAAAACACACACAACCAGGTTAAATACACACAACCTGCAGAAACACACACAACCAGGTTAAATACACACAACCTGCAGAAACACACACAACCAGGTTAAATACACACAACCTGCAGAAACACACACAACCAGGTTAAATACACACAACCTACAGAAACACACACAAACCAGGTTAAATACACACAACCTGCAGAAACACACACAACCAGGTTAAATACACACAACCTGCAGAAACACACACAACCAGGTTAAATACACCAACCTGCAGAAACACACACAACCAGGTTAAATACACACAACCTACAGAAACACACACACAAAACCAGGTTAAATACACACAACCTACAGAAAAACACACACACAACCAGGTTAAATACACACAACCTACAGAAACACACACAACCAGGTTACATACACACAAGCTACTGAAAAACACACACACAACCAGGATAAATACACACAACCTGCAGAAACACACACAACCAGGTTAAATACACACAGGCTACTGAAAAACACACACACAACCAGGAAAAAAACACACAACCTGCAAAAACACACACAACCCGGTTAAATACACACAACCTGCAGAAACACACACAACCAGGTTAAATACACACAACCTGCAGAAACACACACTCAACCAGGTTACATACACACAAGCTACTGAAAAACACACACACAACCAGGATAAATACACACAACCTGCAGAAACACACACAACCAGGTTAAATACACACAGGCTACTGAAAAAACACACACAACCAGGAAAAAAACACACAACCTGCAAAAACACACACACAACCAGGTTAAATACACACAACCTGCAGAAACACACACAACCAGGTTAAATACACACAACCTGCAGAAACACACACACAACCAGGTTAAATACACACAACCTACAGAAACACACACATACAACCAGGTTAAATACACACAACCTACAGAAACACACACACACAACCAGGTTAAATACACACAACCTACAGAAACACACACACACAACCAGGTTAAATACACACAACCTGCAGAAACACACACAACCAGGTTAAATACACACAACCTGCAGAAACACACACTCAACCAGGTAAAATACACACAACCTGCAAAAACACACACACAACCAGGTAAAATACATACAACCTGCAAAAACACACACACAACCAGGTAAAATACACACAACCTGCAGAAACACACACTCAACCAGGTAAAATACACACAACCTGCAAAAACACACACAACCAGGTAAAATACATACAACCTGCAAAAACACACATAGGTCAAATACAGGCATACACAAAAAAAACTGCAAAAACAGACAACTAGGTCAAACACAAAGACAAAACATGCTAAAATCACTCAAATGACTAGGTGAAATACTTACCGTCAAAAATACTCTAACATGAGTCATACACAGAGGGTTACACCATTATCTATATACTACAGTGTTTCCCCTAGGATTTTCAGCAGCGGTGGCAAAGATAGTGAAGTCAAGGAGTTTGAATACTTTCCGAATGCACTATATATACAGTTGAAGTCGGAAGTTTACACAGCCAAATACATTTAAACTCAGTTTTTCACAATTCCTGACATTTAATCCTAGTACAAATTCCCTGTCGTAGGTCAGTTAGGATCATCACTTTATTTTAAGAATGTGAAATGTCAGAATAATAGTAGAGATAATTATTTCTTTCAGCTTTTATTTCTTTCATCACATTCCCAGTGGGTCAGAAGTTTACATACACTCAATTAGTATTTGGTAGCATTGCCTTTAAATTGTTTAACTTGGGTCAAACGTTTCGGGTAGCCTTCCACAAGCTTCCCACAATAAGTTGGGTGAATTTTGGCCAAGCGTGTGCAAAGCTGTCATCAAGGCAAAGGGTGGCTACTTTGAAGAATCTCAAATATGAAATATATTTGGATTTGTTTAACACCTTTTTGGTTACTACATGATTCCATATGTTATTTCATAGTTCTGTTTTCTTTACTATTATTCTACAATGTAGAAAATAGTAAAAATAAAGAAAAACCCTGGAATGAGTAGGTGTGTCCAAACTTTTGACTGGTACTGTATATATATTTATTTTTAATTGTTTTTGTAACCTTTTATTGTGGACTGGTGGCCACCGCTGCTAAATGAATATAGTGGAAACACTGTACGACTATGAGACAGAACCAGGTCAAACACATAATTTATTTTATTTATTTCACCTTTATTTAACCAGGTAAGCCAGTTGAGAACAAGTTCTCATTTACAACTGCGACCTGGCCAAGATAAAGCAGTACTCACAACCAGGGAGTCAAAACACTACAGCCAAAAAGAGAGAACATTCTTAATGTACTATACATCAAGTTCTAGCCAACATCTGACACAGGCTTTCTGTTTATCTTACGAGTAATGGACAATGTCGACTAGGGAGTGATGCTTTGCCTAGCCACGCTAGCTTTGTCCAGAGTGGCTCGCCATGTGATTGCTAGCAAGCTGACAGCATTCTAGGTAGTGCTAGGTATCAACAGCCAATCCAGTAAGGGCTGGAAGCTATAATGAGCTTCGATTGGTAAATCGCGCCGCGATATCATTGAGCATTTGCATAATATTGAGCTTCACCCAACTTAAGTCCCGCCCTGTTTAAGCTCCCACGCCATGTTCGCATCAACCAAACGGTCCCCCGCCTTCGCGTCTCATCGCCTGACATCGCCCCTAGTGGACATTGGCTGTAAGGCCATCGGATCAAACCCAACAACCACTGGTTAACCTTAACGAGTGACTAGTAGTGCTGAGCCATTAGTGCTTTTTGAGGTCGGTTCGGTTTCAGTTAGACTATAAATAAATAATCACGGTTTTCGATTTTGGTTTCAAATTATTTTTTAAAACATTAAATGCACTACGCATTATGTGGGTTGAATGCTGTAACAACACAGAATACAAAAAATCATAAAAGTCCCATGATGCCAGGACCGAGTTTGGGAAACCCTGGCTTAGATAATATATTTTCAGGTAGAAAAACCTTAAGAAGCAACTGCTCTATCCCTCTCAAATCGTGCAATTGTGCATTCTTCTGTCTCTTTTACATAACAGGCGTAAAAGAAACAGATTGGACAAGTAGGTGCACAATGGATTATGGTCTTTGTAGTTAATTAACACGTTTTCTGCGCTAAACTATGTAGAATATTGGCCTGTTGGAAACTACAACTCCCTTCTACTACATCACACACTTCGGGCATGATAGGATTCATCTCTACAGAAACTGCACAATGTGTACATTGAGCTCACAGAAAAAAAACGAACAAAATGGAATTAAAATTATTTTGTCAATTAGTTGTTTAAAAACCGAAATGTCAGTTAATCACTCAGCACTAATGACTAGCAAGGATCCCCACAGCTGTCAGTTCAAACCATGGCAGTCAAACATACTGTCAACAACCTCTCAGAGTAGCAACAGAATAGTTGCACGACCAGTGAAACCACCATGGAAAATCCATGGGGTCATGGAGTGTGTGTGTACTGGCTGATCACAACATACACTTAATTACACTGTTATGAACAGTTTGGAACTGTTATGAATAGCTCAATGATACAGCTTTCTAATCTCCGGCCAGGGAGCTGCCAGGTCCCAGGTAGTGCAGCACCTATCTATGGTTCTGGGTGGTACGAAGCCGCTTTGCTTTGTTTCTTACTAAACAATGGGTTTAATGAGTACAATACAGTAACCACACATTCTCTTGCATAACACAGAGGGGTACTGCACTGACTGGACTCTTCAAAACTGGATTTGGAAGCTAGCTAAACAACAACAAGCATGGTGTCACACATTCTAACAACTAGGGGGAAGTTTACCGGACACAGATTATTCCTAGTCCTGGGCTAACAAGCATCCTCAATCAGGAATCTCAGGAATTGGCTTTGAAAAAATGTGTGCAGAAAAGTCTTCACCCACACCCCTTTGAGCAATTTCCTAATGGTATACATCTGTAGACCTTCTCAGAGCCCTAGATGACTGACAGGAACACCAGCTCTTACCTCAACCTTAGTTTAACTACTTCCTCTAACCGGTTTAACACAGAGATATCTGATACGCTAACTGAAATGGCAATTTCTACCATACCGGGGTCTTGTTATTGTGTGAAATGTCACCCAGACAAACACTCTTCTAGAGTTTCACTCACTAACTACTATGTGTCTGGTATATGGTGGCATACTGGGTGGTATGGTGCGGTTGTCCTAGCAACCCATTCAGGTAAGTCAGCCACCAGGGCAGGGGAGTAAATGGGTAGCATGGTACATATCTATTGTTTTACAGCCCTCTAGGCTACAGCCACAACCTTGGTACATAGCTGGATATCTATGTTTTTACAGGCCTCCAGGCTCCAGACACTAGCTGAGTCAATAGACTAAGCACCTTTGGTGGCAATTACAGCTTTGAGTCATCTTGGGTATGTCTGTATCAGCTTTGCACATCTGGATTTGGGGATTTTCTCCCATTCTTCCTTGCAGATTTTCTCAAGCTCTGTTAAGTAACATGGGGAGCGGCGGTGAACAGCAATCTTCAAGTCTTTCCACAGATTGTCAATGGGATTCAAGTCTGGGCTTTGGCTGTGCCATTCAAGGACTTTCACATTCTTGTTCTGAAGCCATTCCAGCGTTGCTTTGGCTGTTTGCTTGGGGTCATTGTCCTGTTGGAACGTAAATCTTCGCCCCAGTCTGAGGTCGTTTGCACTCTGAAGCAGGTTCTCATCAAGGATTTGCCTGCATTTGGCTCCATTCATTGTTCCCTTTATCCTTACCAGTCTCCCATCTCAACCAAGGAACTCTGTCAGAGTGGTCATTGAGTTCTTGGTCACCTCCCTGACCAAGGTCCTTCTTGCCTGGTTGCTCAGTTTGGTCGGATGGCCAGCTCTAGGCAGAGTGGATGGAGACCACTGTGCTCTTGGAAACATTTAACACTTTAGAAATTGTTTTATACCCTGATCACAATTCTATCTTGGAGATCTACAGTTCCTTGGACTTCATGCACTGTCAACTGTGGAACCTTATACAGACAGGGTATTTTTAAATCATGTCCAAACAATTGAATTGGCCACAGGTGGACTCCAATCAAGTTGTAGTGACATCTCAAGGATGATCAAAGGAAATGGGATGCACCTGAGCTCAATTTGGATTGTCATAGCAAAGGGGTGAGAATACTTATGTAAATTAGATATTTATGCTTTCATTTTCAATAAATGTGCAAAGATTTCTATAAACATGTTTTCACTTTGTCATTATGGGGTATTGTGTGTAGATGGGTGCGAAATAAATCAATTTAATCAATTTTGAATTCAGGCTGTAAAACAACATAATGTGGAATAAATGAAGGGGTATGAATTCTTTCTGAAGGCACTGTAGCTGGATATCTAAGGTTTTTACAGGCCTCCTGGCTCCAGCCCCTAGCTTGGGACATAGCTGGATATCTATGGTGTTTACAGGCCTCCAGGCTCCAGCCCCCTGCTTGGTACATAGCTGGATATCTACAGTGCATTCGGAAAGTATTCAGATCCCTTGACTTTTTCCACATTTTGTTACGTTACAGCCTTATTCTAAAATTAATTAAATTAGTCCTTTAGGTGCCGTTTGGCAAACTCCAAGCGGTCTGTCATGTGCCTTTTACTGAGGAGGGCTTCCGTCTGGCCACTTTACCATAAAGGCCTGATTGGTGGAGTGCTGCAGAGATGGTTGTCCTTCTGGAAGGTTCTCCCATCTCCACAGAGGAACTCTGGAGCTCTGTCAGAGTGACCATCGGGTTCTTGGTCACCTCCCTGACCAAGCCCCGTCTCACCCGATCGCTCAGTTTGGCCGGGCGGCCAGCGCTAGGAAGAGTCTTGGTGGTTCCAAACTTCTTCCATTTAAGAATGACGGAGGCCACTGTGCTTTTGGGGACCTTCAATGCTGCAGACATTTTTTGGTACCCTTCCCCAGATCTGTGCCTCGACATAATCCTGTCTCTGAGCTCTAAGGACAATTTCTTCGACCTCATGGCTTGGTCTTTGCTCTGACATGCACTGTCAACTGTGGGACCTTATATAGACAGGTGTGTGCCTTTCCAAATCATGTTCAATGAATTTAATTTACCACAGGTGGACTCCAATCAAGTTGTAGAAACATCTCAAGGATGATCAATGGAAACAGGATCCACCTGAGCTCAATTTTGAGTCTCATAGCAAAGGGTCTGAATACTTATGTAAATAAGGTCATTCTGTTTTTTATTTGTAATACATTTGCAAAAACTTCTAAAAACCTGTTTTCGCTTTGTCATTATGGGGCATTGTGTGTAGATGGATGAGGAAAATGTTTTATTTAATCAAGTTTAGAATAAGGCTGTAACGTAACAAAATGTGGAAAAAGTCAAGGGGTCTGAATACTTTCTGAATGCACTGTATGGTTTTTACAGGCCTAGCTTGGTACATAGCTGGATATCTATGGCTTTTACAGGCCTCCAGGCTCCAGCCCCTAGCTCGGTACATAGCTGGATATCTATGGCTTTTACAGGCCTCCAGGTCTCCAGCCGGGGGCGCTCGCGCCTACGCTGCTTACAATGTAGACTGGATAATTCTATGGGGCTTTTACAGGCCTCCAGGCTCCAGCCCCTAGCTCGGTACATAGCTGGATATCTATGGTTTTTACAGGCCTCCAGGCTCCAGCCCCTAGCTTGGTACATAGCTGGATATCTATGGCTTTTACAGGCATCCAGGCTATAGCCACTAATGTCTACACAGGCCACTAGCCACACTGTTTGTGACTGAGAGCTCTCTGTTCTGTCTAGCATTTCTAAACCCCACTCACTCACACGAGAGGGGAAAAAACGGGCAGATTAGGCAGGGATTTAGCTTAGTGCAAGAGTAAACAGAAGTCACTGGACACAATGAACAACAAGCCCATTGAGAAAAAGCTATTTCTTTAGTTTAGGGTGAGTAGCAGCTCTGAGAGGAGAGTGCAGAGAGCACACAGACAGGCAATAGTGTGACAGCTGGTGGTGAAGAGGCCTTGGCTTTATCTGCTGCTGCTGAGCAACACACACACACACACACACACACACACCAATAGGAAACAATGGTCTGTCCTCGCCTTAATTAAAAACAACAGAATGGTTTCCCGCGGTGAGTCAGGGACTTCCTGAATGAGCGAGAATGAGGTCAGGCAGGCACGCGCGCACGCCCACAAACACACACGCACGCACACACACACACACACACACACACAGGCTTGTTGGTAGGGATTAGTAGGGATGGAATAGGCGATCTTGACAGGTCGCAAAAAGATGGTTGCACCTGCACCATTTACAAACTTCTGACCCCCTTCTGGGAAAACAATGCACTAAAATTCACTGACTTTTTACTTGAACTGAATAGAACTAGTGGAGCTGAAATCAGATAGCTATTTGTCTCGACATATCTCATTTTCATAATTTAGCAGGCGCTCTTATGCAGAGCAACTTGCAGTAGTGATTGCATACATTTCATACTTTTTTCCCCCTTTCTCTGTACTGGTCCCCCGTTGGAATCGAACCCACAACCCTGGCGTTGCAAGCGCCATGCTCTACCAACTGAGCCACACAGGACTACATCAGGTAGATCAACTCTCTTAAAGGGCATCTGTCTCTTACAAATACAAAAAACACACCTTACAGCAGCCCCACACACATAACTCGCTTCTGTGACACCAATCAGCAGTTGTTCCAGAACAGCCACAATCATCCAGTGCTTTAAAGGCTTTAGAGCCCTAAGGCCATGCGTTTGTGAGAGTAGTCTCCATCTAGGGATACACATCATTATTTCTAAAGACATGCTATGCTGTGTGTCTGGCTCTCTCTGCATGCCTCTGTGACACGTCCTATACATTCCTGTGTAATCTGATGTAGATCCCCTACTAACCCCTCTCAGCCTGGGCCCCTGGGGGACACAGGTAAAGATGGCTCCAAACTGCATCTAGTGATAATCATCTCCCCCTACACAAACTCTACTAAGTCTCTGAGTTATGTTTCTCTCTTGAATCAACAGAGAAAGAGAAAGGGAGAGAGAAATTGAGAAAGAGAGAGAGAGAGAGAGAGGGAGAGAGAGAGAAATGGAGGAGTACAAAGAAAACACAGCTAATAAATGTACTTGGCCAGTGGTTAAAACCATTAGCACATAGAAAACCGACTTGCCCATTGTAACCCCAGTAAGGGACAGTCCCATGGCTAGACAGCCTCTTCAGAGTAACCTGAGGGAAGGTCTGGCTATGGGCCTGCTGGCAGCCATAGTCCCCTTCTCCCACTGAGGGCCAGCCCATGTAGAGCAGCCTGCCAGAGGCCTGATAGATTAGCTGTGTTATGTAGCTTGGAGAGGCCCGGAGAAAGATCCAAGGAGGTTGCCCCACCAAGGCGCAGCCTCTCAGGGCACCCGCTGCCCCTGGCACCCCCCTAGGGTGGATGGATGTCCTACGGGCAACAGCCAGACAATTTTACTGCTGGGCGGCGTCTCAACTAATTAGAAGAAACCAAAGCTGGAGTCTCTCTCCTTTGGCACTGGACTTCAAATAAGAAGAGTTGGAGGAGGTAGAGGGCAGCCAGCCGCCCAGTACACCTCTCTCTCTCACTCTCACTCTCACTCTCTTACACTCTCACTCACACTCACACTCACACTCTCACTCACACTCACACTCTCACTCACACTCTCACTCTCTCTCACTCTCACAAAAGGCCACTCGCAACATGAAAACAAGCAGGCCTGTGATGTCACTCAACCAGCATTATCCAGAACTGGCCTCTGGACATGTTCCTCTCTCACGGAATGCTGAGCTAACCAACCAGGCCGCTCAGGTTGATGGCTTGCTAGAAGGCTGTACAGTACTGCCTATTCCTTGCCAAAATTGGTAGCTGGCTAACTAAGCAAGTCCAAGGACTACATTATGTCTGATTTCAGCAAGTCTATCCAGTATGTTCAGTTAGCTAGTTTAAGTATCATGCCAAACTAATAACTTTCACATGGTTTGCTGCTACATACAGCTAGTACCGTACTATACAATAACTACATTTTTGAAGAAAAAATTCAAGAATATTCACACAAGTCTACCACCACAGAGATGAATCGGCTAAATCTGCCAAACAAACATTAAACATTAACTTTCATGAGCTGAACTCACCTGGCAGCCTCTCTTCTCAATCTCCGTGATGCACTTCTCGATGAGCAGGGGCACCATGAGTCCGGTGTTCTCCCTTTCCACCACCCTCCAGGCCTCCACCCCAAACATCTGTCGCTCCCGGTCCCCATCGTAGCCTCCGTCCAGGGAATTCTGCCACTGCTCCATCAGGTTCAGCTTCACGTAGATCAGGCCTCGTGGCTCCAGCTTCACGGCCAGCTGATGACTCCTGGTCACCCTGAAGAGAGCCGGTAACACCACAGTGCCGTGACAGCACACCCGGTTCTTCTTGGGTGTGGGGTCCCAGCTGAACACCACTAGCTTCAGGTGCTGGGCGTTCTCCAGCTCGATGTTGAAGGTGTGGTCCATGTCTAAGAAGGTGGTCCGGCAGGTGAGCAGGGCAGTGCGCGCCTTGTTGACCGAGTCCACCTGGATGGCGCAGTAGACGTCTCGGGAGTCGACGCGTGACGGTTTGAGGTCCTCAGCGCCGTAGAAGTGCAGGCTCATCAGGCCTGAGATGTACTGGGTGCACTTGGGCTGTTCTGTGAAGGCGTAGTGGCGGAACGCGTCAATGTCTAATTCTGTGCCGTGCAGCTTGGAGCTGCCACCTCCCCCTGTTACTCCTCCTGCTCCTGTTCTCTCTCCTCCTCCAGTGGCAGGGTCTTTCTCTTTCTCCTTCACCTTGCCTCCCTTGCCCTCTGAGGACCTGTGCTTCCCAGACTTGGCCACCAGTTCTGGGGAGTCCCCGTCACTGAGGTAGCCCCCCTTGCTAGCCGACTTGGAGGTCCCGCTGCTCTTCTTCTTGCTGTAACTTTGCTGCGTCGACACACTGCTGTCCAGGTGATATCTTGAGATCACATTACGGCTGGCAGCCACCCCCTGCCCGCCCCCTGGGGACAACCTGGGAGGAGCCGAGCCTGGTTCTGTCCCGCTATTTGTTTTGGGACAATGGGTCCTTGTCTCTGATTGGCTACTCGCGCTGGCTCCGTTACCACTGGTGTTGTTGTTGTTGCTAGGGATCCCTTTGACACTGAGCTTGCGGCTGAGTTCCGGAAGCTTCTTCATCTTCATGGAGAGTTTCCTGACGGTGCGCGGGGACTTGATCTTGTCTGGGAACGACCAGTTGAGGGAGCTTCCCTTCTTAGCAGGGTTGGGGCTGGAGGGAGGCGAGAAGCCGGGGGTGGCTAGGTCAGGGCCTTCTGCTGCAGGGGGAACATCAAGGACAGAGAGAGAGAGAGCACGAGAGAGAGAGAGAGAGAGAGAGAGAGAGAGAGAGAGAGAGAGAGAGAGAGAGAGAGAGAGAGAGAGAGAGACCATGTTGAAACTCACAGAGGTCACCAGAGTAAATAAAATATAGACATAACACTCAACCTTTAGATACTAAAGAAGGGCACTGGGTAGATTTATTGAAGGCTAAAACCAATCTAATTTTAGCCATGTATATGTCATAGTTTTTAGACGGCTGACAGTTAGACATTCTCTCTCTCATGAGACTAATATGGGACTAAATTAAATTGCTTTACACCATCAGCAACAGCTTGCATGCCAGACCAGACCATAACAAACTTCACCATTAAAATAATAGGTCAGTCGTTAGCTAAGAATGAACTCCTGTTATGTGGTTAACTTAATTAAATGCTATGTAAATTCTAGATTACGGTAGATCTTATTAGCAAAGGTGTGAGAGAGCCAGGTCTCTGAAACAAACTGTTATACAAAGAGGAATTAGACACTTCTGCTTCAGGACTCAGGGCTAACGTTACTGAAGGGAGAACCCATTACTCTAGCAGTAAACATATCCATTCAATGGGTATAGATATGCATGGTATGCATTTACAAGTTTCCTAACGGCAATATTATATTACACTCAGGAATGTTAGTCAGAACCTGGAGAGAAGCTCCTAACCAGTAGTCTGTGGCCAGAGTGAGAGTCGAAAGCCTCTGAACCGGTAGACTGTGGCCAGAGTGAGAGTAGAAAGCCTCTGAACCGGTAGACTGTGGCCAGAGTGAGAGTCGAAAGCCTCTGAACCGGTAGACTGTGGCCAGAGTGAGAGTCGAAAGCCTCTGAACCGGTAGACTGTGGCCAGAGTGTCGAAAGCCTCTGAACCGGTAGACTGTGGCCAGAGTGAGAGTCAAAAGCCTCTGAACCGGTAGTCTGTGGAAAGAGTGAGAGTCGAAAGCCTCTGAACCGGTATTCTGTGGCCAGAGTGAGAGTCGAAAGCCTCTGAACCGGTAGTCTGGGGCCAGAGTGAGAGTCGAAAGCCTCTGAACCACTAGTCTGTGGCCAGAGTGAGAGTCTAGTAGAAAGAAAGCCTATGAAGTGGGACTGAATTTGGGAGCTCCTTCTCAGAATCTTCCCTCCAAGGCACTGTCCTTCAGCGGGCTCTACCTGCTTCCATGATCCATCCATCCATCCATACTCTGTTTCTACAACAACAACCCCTCTTGCGACAAACTATTCTAATCTTTTGTTTCAGTAGAAGTTTGTCAGGTTAAACTAATCCATCTGGCCAGTCCCAAGCAGCGAGCCAGTGCTGAGTGGGGTGGACAGAGAGGACATGGACAGGGGAGCCCTTACCCCCAGGCCGGCCCAGCTACAGTTTAGATGACTGAAGTGTCCCACTGGTTCCCCGACGGGATGCTTGAGCCCGTTTCAAACGGAAAAGAGGACTTTTCCCTTTGCGCTTTCTTAATAGGATTTTCTCCTTTGCTACCCTTTCACTTTTTCTATCTGATCTCATTTTCACACATCACAGGGAAATACCATCAGCTTCAAGGGAGGGAATGTCCAAAACATGTAACATGGCTGAGGTAACTCATTTATATATTCTACAGAACCAAAAACACTCTGCATCACCACCATTTTAAGATAAATGTATTTTGATGCACTGCAGTACTACTAGTATCTACATTAATGGCCTTCCAAGACAAATAGTCAATAACTAGTACAACAAAAACTTGAGTTCTTCAACATTCAGTTACTTTCTGGGCACAATTCTGTCACAGTTGAATATAAGACATTAAATCACTCCAAAACATGCTACAATGTGCCTATTCTCTATTTACAGTTCTCACTCGCGTAGAATTTCAGTTTTCTGTTTTCAAACCGCAAGTTCCTCCACACTGCTGAAACAAAGGAGTGATTCTGTTGGCTATTCATTGTGAAGAGAACAAAGGAGAGGGAGAGGGAGAGAGAGGGAGTCAGAGAGAGGGCGAGAGAAGGAGAGAGGGAGTCAGAGAGAGGGTGAGAGAAGGAGAGAGGGAGTCAGAGAGAGGGTGAGAGAAGAGTAGAGGTGATAGAGTGGGGAGTTCAGGAAAGAGGGTTGATAGAAGTTGAGAGAGGGAGCAGACTATGGGGAGTCCCAGAGAGAGGGGTGGAGATAGGAGAGAGAGGAGAGTCAGAGGGGTGGATAGAGAAAATAGACAAGAGAGATAGAGAGAGGGAGGAAGAGAAAAATAGAGCAAAGAGAGAGTGAAAGAGAGAGAGTACAGAAGGGGGTAGCATGACCTGCCAACATCCCCTGCTCTATTTTCAGAGGGGCCTGCTGTGCTATTCTGGAGAGAGGGGTAAGAGGGAGGCAGGGAGGGGGTAGAGGAGGGGTAAGAGGAGGTGTCGGAGGATGTAGCGAGGGGGTAAGATGGAGGCAGCAGTAGGGCAGAGTGGGTTGCTGCATGCTGAGGAGAAGGGGTTATGGGGGTGGGGGGGCAGAGGAGAAGGGGTTATGGGGTGGGGTGGGGTGGTGCTGGGCGGGGGCGGGGGGGGGGGGGGGGGCAGAGGAGAAGGGGTTATGGGGTGGGGGGGCAGAGGAGAAGGGGGTATGGGGTGGGGGACAAAGGCACCCCTTGTCCTGCGAATCAGAGGCCTGGCCAGTGAAAAGGGGTGTTCTCTGACATTCCATAATAAACCATGTTTAGCCTCCCTTCCCTTTCCTTAGGCTGCTGAATATAATTCCCTGTTAGCTAGTGGTTCCTGATAATAACAAATACCAGCACACAGAGGGGGAAAGGGGGAGAGAGCTGGATCAAACATGCAAAATACCACTGGAAGAAGTGCCAAACAACATCTAGGGTGGGTCCCAGATACTGAGGTTTAGGTTTGGCCAAACTCACATGCCTTCAGAAGGCACTGAAACCACTGGAACACATTTTTGACCAATCAGATTGCGTACCCATAACTAACTTTCACAATCCCCTTCATAATCCCCTTTCATAATTTTCTTGTTAAGCAAATGTCTGTTCGAATTCATTGTCTGATTTTATGTCCATTTTCAGATTAGTACATGATGTGGAAATGTCTTTGGCAACTATCCTAAATCTAATGGTATGAACAGAACCGTCATCCACAACAACAGCCAACTGAGTTAAATCTGGTGGATATAACATTTACCAAGTAGAATAATATTACCTTTAAAACAAATCCAATGACTACTGTGCTGTTCTCCATAGTTCCCTCACTATTCTATAGCCATTTACCTTGTAGCAATATCAACAGCAACGTCAGAGAGAAAGAGAGGGACAGACACCCGACACCCTCTACCTGAGGTTCAGGGGAACTGTTTGATACTTAACCCCCGGGGGCCATGTTCATAGGGTCAAAGGGCAAAGAGTTGCATTCCGCCAACTGGAACCTGAGCTGGGTGACCAGTGTCGCCCCCATACACCCCCCTCTTCCTCATGACCCCCAGGCCCACCCCAGGCAGACTGCCACTGACACCCCTCTCACAAAGAACAGGAATTTATGGCCCTTGATTGCATTTAATAACGTTCTGGAACCAGACAGGTGCTAAGCGAGAGCGGTGTGTGTGTGTGGAAGGAGTGTGTGTGTGTGTGTCTGCGCCTGTGTGTGTGTGTGTGTATGTGTGCACGTGTGTTTGTGTATAAAGAGAGACTGTGTGTGTGGGGGGGGGGACACGGTATGTGCGAATACGGCAGTGTGAGAAAGTTGGTGATTGTTCATGTGTTCTTTAACAGTGACTGTGCGTGTATGAATGTACTCCCTCTGACAGAAGGTGATAGGAGACAAAACTGATGTCCTTAATTACCCCTAGGCAAGTCCACGGTAACAGACTCATTTACTTGAAGAACAGTGCAAATGCAAAGATTGGTAACACAATGATGGTGTGTGCTGTTTGTGCCATCATTCTGTTACCAAACATTGCATATGCACTTTTCTAAAAGTAAATCTGATTTTGCAACATTTTCAGTGGAAATTGTTTAAGCGGCAATATGTAACTTTTTTGGCCACCTGACCAAATTCACATAGAAATGAGTTATAGATCTGTAATTCGCATTGAAAGCAAGTCTAAGAAGCGGCAGATCTGTTCTATGTGCACTATTTCTATGCTTCCCGTTCTTAAGTTTCGTTTTTACGTCTTTTACTTTCGGTTAGGTACACCAGCTTCCAACAGCTGAAAATACAATTGAAAAATCATTGAAAATATATTTCACAGCAGTTTAGATGGTACAATGATTTTTTACACTTGCTTGTTTTGTCACATAAACTGAAATTAGGCAAACTATTCACATTTTTGCAACCAGGAAATGGAGGAACGATTTCTGCATATTGCAGTCCTTGTGCATAGAGTTGTATGTTTTGTTTAAAGGGATACTTCAGGATTTTGGCATTGATGTCAGGGACAAGATTGTAGACCTACACAAGGCTGGAATGGGCTACAAGACCATCGCCAAGCAGCTTGGTGAGAAGGTGACAACAGTTGGTGCGATTATTCGCAAATGGAAGAAACACAAAATAACTGTAAATCTCCCTCGGCCTGGGGCTCCATGCAAGATCTCACCTCGTAGAGTTGCAATGATCATGAGAACGGTGAGGAATCAGCCCAGAACTACACAGGAGGATCTTATAAATGATCTCAAGGCAGCTGGGACCATAGTCACCAAGAAAACAACTGGTAACACACTATGCCGTGAAGGACTGAAATCCTGCAGCGCCCGCAAGGTCCCCCTGCTCAAGAAAGCACATATACAGGCCCGTCTGAAGTTTGCCAATGAACATCTAAATGATTCAGAAGAGAACTGGGTGAAAGTGTTGTGGTCAGATGAGACCAAAATCAAGCTCTTTGGCATCAACTCAACTCGCCGTGTTTGGAGGAGGAGGAATGCTGCCTATGACCCCAAGAACACCATCCCCACCGTCAAACATGGAGGTGGAAACATTATGCTTTGGGGGTGTTTTTCTGCTAGGGGGACAGGACAACTTCACCGCATCAAAGGGACGATGGACGGGGCCATGTACTGTCAAATCTTGGGTGAGAACCTCCTTCCCTCAGCCAGGGCATTGAAAATGGGTTGTGGATGGGTATTCCAGCATGACAATGACCCAAAACACACGGCCAAGGCAACAAAGGAGTGTCTCAAGAAGAAGCACATTAAGGTCCTGGAGTGGCCTAGCCAGTCTCCAGACCTTAATCCCATAGAAAATCTGTGGAGGGAGCTGAAGGTTCGAGTTGCCAAACGTCAGCCTCGAAATCTTAATGACTTGGAGAAGATCTGCAAAGACGAGTAGGACAAAATCCCTCCTGAGATGTGTGCAAACCTGGTGGCCAACTACAAGAAACGTCTGACCTCTGTGATTGCCAACAAGGGTTTTGCCACCAAGTACTAAGTAATGTTTTGCAGAGGGGTCAAATATTTATTTCCCTCATTAAAATGCAAATCAATTTATAAAAATTTTGACATGCGTTTTTCTGGATTATTTTGTTGCTATTCTGTCTCTCACTGTTCAAATAAACCTACCATTAAAATTATAGACTGATCATGTCTTTGTCAGTGGGCAAACGTACAAAATCAGCAGGGGATCAAATACTTTTTTCCCTCACTGTATATAAGGTCCCACAGTTGACAATGCATGTCAGAGCAAAAACCAAGCCATGAGGTCAAAGGAATTGTCCGCAGAGCTCCGAGACAGGATTGTGTTGAGGCACAGATCTGGGGAAGGGTACCAAAACATTTCTGCAGCATTGAAGGTCCCCAAAAACAAAGTGGCCTCCATCATTATTAAATGGAAGAAGTTTGGAACCATCAAGACTCTTCCTAGAGCTGGCCGCCCGGCCAAACTGAGCAACCGGGGATGGGAAAACCTTCCAGAAGGACAACCATCTCTGAAGAACTCCACCAATCAGGCCTTTATGGTTAGTAGCCAGACGGAAGCCACTCCTCAGTAAAAGGCACACGACAGCCCGCTTGGAGTTTGCCAAAAGGCACCTAAAGACAATCAGACCATGAGAAACAAGATTCTCTGGTCTGATGAAACCAAGATTGAACTCTTTGGCCGGAATGCCAAGTGTCACATCTGGAGGAGGAAACCTGGCACCACCCCTATGGTGAAGCATTGTGGTGGCAGCATCATGCTGTGGGGATGTTTTTCAGCGGCAGGGACTGGAGACTAGTCAGGATCGAGGCAAAGATGAACGGAGAAAAGTACAGAGAGATCCTTGATGAAAACCTGCTCCACAGCACTCAGGACCTCAGACTGGGGTGAAGGTTCACCTTCCAACAGGACAACGACTCTAAGCACACAGCCAAGAGAACACAGGAGTGGCTTTGGGACAAGTCTCTGAATGTCCTTGAGTGACCCAGCCAGAGCCCGGACTTGAACCCGATCGAACATCTCTGGAGAGACCTGAAAATAGCTGTGCAGCAACGCTCCCCATCCAACCTGACAGAGTATGAGAGGATCTGCAGAGAAGAATGGGAGAATCTCCCCAAATACAGGTGTGCCAAGCTTGTAGCGTCATCCCCAAGAAGACTCAAGGCTACAATCGCTGCCAAAGGTGCGTCAACAAAGTACTGAGTAAAGGGTTTGAATACTTATGTAAATGTGATATTTCATTATTATTATTACTTTTTATAAATTAGCAAACATTTCTAAAAACCTGTTTTTACTTTGTCATTATGGGGTATTGTGTGTAGATTGATAAGGGGAAAAAACGATTTAATAAATTTTAGAATAAGGCTTTAACGTAACAAAATGTGGAAAAAGTCAAGGAGTCTGTATACTTTCCGAAGGCACTGTACGTTTGATCTTGCAAACAATGTAAAGTATGTATAGATGGGCGTAATCTAGAGCCAAGCGTGTTGATTTTCCATCCGAGGGTATCCTGCTGTTGACACACTTGTTGAATTATGCAACAGAATGTGACAACAACAGTCATTAATTAAGCAGTCTAGACAGCACAGGTGAGTACAGGTAGGCCTAGACAGCACATTGTTGGTGTTGCAGCCCGGTTCCACCCCTTTATGTTAACATTTACATTTACATTTAAGTCATTTAGCAGACACTCTTATCCAGAGCGACTTACAGTTAGTGAGTGCTTACATTTTCATACTGTTAATGTATTAATATATGCAAATACACCCAGTGTATTTATGCAAATGCTACACATATAACTTTCATTATTTTAACACAAAATATATTTAAAAAAAATACCTAACATTAGAAAATATAAAGATGAGTGCATTCTAAGAAAAAATGTGAAATTTGACAATAAATTGAATACCTGAACTCCATTCATTATTTGTCCGTGCCAGTAAAATGTTTTATGTGCTATAATTCAGTCAATATCTGATGGATTTAGTATCTTCATATATTGTCCAACTGTTGCATTTATTACAATTGTTTTTAAAACCTCTTAACAATGTTGATGACTGTTGCTACATGGATACCATTTGTATGTCTCTGCATCCAGTATAAAATAAGTTAGAGGTAGTTTGGCGAGCCAATGCTATCTGCGCTAATGGTAGTTAGCAATTGCGCTAACGCTAGTTAGCAACTTCCTTCCATCTGCACACAGAGACATAAAAATGATATCCATGGGTTCATCTGACTCTGGGGAAGTAGATCATGGCCTTCATTGGCAAAATCCCAAAGTATGTTTGGCATACTTTTTAAAATTAAAAACTTGAGTCTCAGCATCACTCTGTTACCTTGGAATTGCCCCCCCCTGCAAACTCTCACACACTCATTATAGACACAAACAGAGAAGGACAGAGTTCTCTAGTGCACTGTTCTCTGGCACCCTATTCTCTAGTGCACTGCTTTTGACCAGGGCCCAGAGGACTTTGATCAAAGTAGTGCACTGTATAGGGAATAGGCTGCCATTTGGGACACAGACAGAGACACTGTATTGGTGGCTCTCCTTCAGGCCTAAATCATTCAGTGCTGGAATCCTTTCAGAGGCCACAGCAGCCAAGTGAGGCGTTTAACTACAATGGTGACCAAATATAGTATGCGTCCCAAATTGTACCCTCTTCCCTACAGTGCACTACTGCACACCCTATGGGCCCTGGTCAAAAGTAATGTACTAAATAGGGAATAGGGTGCCATTTGGGATGCACCCATAGCCAGGCATGGCAGGCAGGCCCTCTGCTTTCTCTGCTCCCAATAGCACAACAACATGGCTACCTGCCAACGCAGCCTGTCTTGCTCTCTATGCAGGCTAAGGCTACTGCCACAAGCATTCCAACTCAGCCCAGAGCTCCTCTGTATCTCCAACAACACCGTGTGTGTGTGTGTGTGCGTGCATTCATATGTGCGTGTGTGTGTGTGTGCGTCTATTTTGACTCTTGTGATCCCCAGAGTCTAAATTAATGAAATTATCATTCATTTACTGCAGTGCTTCACTTTCGCAGGCTGATCCGATCAAAACAACCATAAAAATAGCTCTGACCACATTTGACCCCAACGGCCCAACTTCCAGATTCCCTGTCCAGGCGCTATGGGAACACTAACCCGCCTCTACATGCTCTCTATAGTCCATCCATCATTATCCTCCATACAAACACAGCATTCAGCCAGACAAAGGAGCAGTCAATGACAGCCCTATGAGGAGTCTAGGGTGTATCCGGTTAGGAAAAAGAAGCAACCAACCAGCCGGACAGACAGACAGAGAGAGACAGACAGAGATAGAGGGTCTAGTGTTGGACTGGGTCATTCTAATCTAACATGCATAAATTAATTATTATTCAACAGACACTCTTATTATTCAAAGCCAATAACAAAGCGTTATCCATTTTTAGCCACTTGTAATAAAGTAGCCCTCTGTCCTAGTGGGTTTGGCTCGTAGTGAAGAGGGGATTGAGACTTTATAAAGGAGAAAAGAGGAGGAGGAGGGTGATAGGATGTAGGCATCACAAAAACCTGAAAAAGGAGGAGGACACTATAGTTCCCCTCCCCATTCTTCTATTCTAATCTAGGGCCTTCTATTACAGGCTGCATGGGGACAATATGGCGATATTGAAAGAAGTGAGCCTACTACCCCCATGTCTATTCCTCCCTGTAGCCTGTAGTAAGTAGATTGAGTGACAGGTCTCCATTACTCCCTGTGCGGAGAGGGTTGGAACCATTCCATGACCAGTCAGTCAGTCAGTCACTCACGAATAGGAGGCCAAATCACACAGCACAGCAATACCCCCACCAACCACCAACCAGCTAATAGTACACCCTGCTTAAGTCAGAGACATGTCTGATACATTGTCCTCCTGCAAACCCAAAACACGGCCTGTCACCCCGCCACTTCCTGCCGTGACAGCGTCACATTTAGACGTAGCAGTCAGCTCCTGTTACATCCCAAAGGATCATGGGAGTATATTTACCACTTTACAGAGACCTAGCCACATACATCATCATTATTATTATTACTATAGGGCTCACCTCACCGCCGTTCACCACCACTGTGACTGACTGACGGATAAAAATAGGACTTCACCTCTCACTGGGTGCTTAGCTGGCACACACACAAGCTAGTAACATACACAAACAAACACACACTTTCTCTTTGATGACACGTAATGCGGTAGGTTCTTTTTTGTTGAGACACAGGTTGAAGTGTGGAGTGGCGACGGGAGCTGACCGCAAAGTCAACAACGAACAGGGAGTTCCGGAGTGGAACACAAAACACTCACTGAACACTCCCCTCCATTCACAACACAGAATACAGCAAGCAGCACAGCTCCCAGATAACTAGGCGACCAACACTAACACAAGGACGCCACATTCCACACAACACAACAACACACTGACTCATTAATGAAACAAGTTCCTGTAAATGCCTTTCTGTCTCAGTCACAGATCAATCATTCACAGAATAAGAACAGATTGATAAACACATGAATGCTAAACCAACAGAATAATCATGCAACTTCTCTCTAGGCAGAGGAGTCTTTCTATATGCTTTACCCTTTCACCGTTTAAACATGAAAGACTGTGGGAAATATCTGGAATTTCATACTGTACCATATCAAATGACAAGAGCAGAAAATAGCTACGTTTTAATTGGTTATAATCAGTGTATGTGGCTATTCCAGCATTAATGTGCTGGAACACAGAGACCCCCCTCAGGCCCTGGCCTAAGCCTAATCCTGATCCTGCATGTAAAGTCTTTCATGACTGAGACTTTGGCCACTCAGCATGTGATGTCACTGTGATCCAGGGCTTTGTTGTTACCCATTGGCCGAGCTCCAGCTGTTGGCCGCCACCTGTCAATCAACGCTTGTGTTATGTCACTCACTCTCACAAAAAAAGGTTCAGAGAGAGAATGTCCCCTCAGAACACATTGTTTTGGAGGGAATGTCTCCTCAGAACACATTGTTTTGGAGGGAATGTCCCCAAGACAAGACTGGAGATTTAGGATGAGGGAGGTTACAAAACATTTGCTGTTGTTCACTCAGACAAATGTAAAAAGTATTTTAATACTTTTAAAACTTCTAACCAACTGGTATTAACAATATATATCTGGTAGTTTTCTCTTTTCACTAATACATTTAGTCAAAGAGAAGTGAGCAACACCAGCGCACGTGTCGGGCTTATTATGACTTTCATAAAGAACTTCTGTTGCTATGGCTGCTGCCAATTATGCGGAGGGGATAAGTATATCCTTGCTATTCAGCTTCGCTTTGCGTTCAACAACCAGAAAGCTTTTTTGCATGCCACAGAAGACAGTAGTTAAAAGTCATAATTATGGGTTCACTTCAAGATTTGTCAAAAATGTCCAAACAACCACGTTGCCACATCAGAGCAATCAAAAGAAGAAGTAAAAAAAAAAATTTTTTTTAAAAGAAAAAGAAAAACACTACGTATTAAGAGACTGTGAGAGCAGTGTGGGAGCTGTCATCATAATATAGGGTGTCCACCCACTCTGCCCAGAGTGTGAAAACGCGCTTAGGTTATGAAATTTCACTTCCTTATGTTAAGACAAATATTATTATTCATGTTCCGAATCGTTCAGTGGGGATTTTCCCTAACATATTAACATTGTATAAAAAAAAAGTCAGATTTCGTAACCTAATACACCCGATAATAAGCACTGAGCTCTGTTGACATAGCGATGCAGGTTTCTCGTAAAAGCTTTTGAGGATTTTACATTTTGTGGTTGTCGTTTCCACAGGTCACAAAAATCAAAATTAGCATGACACGAGCTGAATTAAATGTAAAAGGATTTGAAAATAAAAAGGTTGGTATATGCTCACTGCTATGTTGACATTTCACAGAGATACAGTGCCTTGCAAAAGTATTCATCCCGCTTGGCGTTTTTCCTATTTTGTTGCATTACAATCTTTTTTTTTTTGGATTTCATGTAATGGACATACACAAAATAGCCCCTAAATAAGATCTGGTGCAACCAATTACCTTCAGAAGTCACATAATTAGTTAAATAAAGTCTACCTGTTTGCATTCTAAGTGTCACATGATCTGTCACATGATCTCAGAATATATACACCTGTTCTGAAAGGCCCCAGAGTCTGCAACACCACTAAGCAAGGGGCACCACCAAGCAAGCGGCACCATGAAGACCAAGGAGCTCTCCAAACAGAAACAGGTCAGGATCAAAGTTGTGGAGAAGTACAGATCAGGGTTGGGTTATAAAAAAATATCAGAAACTTTGAACATTCCACGGAGCACCATTAAATCCATTATAAAAAAATTGAAAGAATATGGCACCACAACAAACCTGCCAAGAGAGGGCCGCCCACCAAAACTCACGGACCAGGCAAAGAGGGCATTAATCAGAGAGGCAACAAGGAGACCAAAGATAACCCTGAAGGAGCTGCAAAGCTCCACAGCGGAGATTAGAGTATCTGTCCATAGGACCACTTTAAGCCGTACACTCCACAGAGCTGGTCTTTACGGAAGAGTGGCCAGAAAAAAAGCCATTGCTTAAAGAAAAAACTAAGCAAACACGTTTGGTGTTCGCCAAAAGGCATGTGGGAGACTCCCCAAACATATGGAAGAAGGTACTCTGGTCAGATGAGACTAAAATTGAGCTTTTTGGCCATCAAGGAAAACGCTATGTCTGACGCAAACCCAACACCTCTCATCACCCCGAGTACACCATGTTTTTCATCGGCAGGGACTGGGAAACTGGTCAGAATTGAAGGAATGATGGATGGCGCTAAATACAGAGAGATCCTTGATGAAAACCTGCTCCAGCGCACTCAGGACCTCAGACTGGGGCGAAGGTTCACCTTCCAACAGGACAACGACTCTAAGCACACAGCCAAGACAACGCAGGAGTGGCTTCGGGACAAGTCTCTGAATGTCCTTGAGTGGCCCAGCCAGAGCCCGGACTTGAACCTGATCGAACATCTCTGGAGAGACCTGAAAATAGCTGTGCAGCGACGCTCCCCATCCAACCTGACAGAGCTTGAGAGGTCTGAAGAGAAGAATGGGAGAAACTCCCCAAATACAGTTGTGCCAAGCTTGTAGCGTCATACCCAAGAAAAGGCTATAATCGCTGCCAAAGGTGCTTCAACAAAGTACTTAGTAAAGGGTCTGAACACTTGTAAATGTGATATTTCCGTTTATTTTGTATTTTTTTCAGCAAAAATGTCTAAACATCTGTTTTTGCTTTGTCATTATGGGGTTGCTTTTGCTTTGTCATTGATGAGGAATCTTTTTTTAATCCATTTTAGAATAAGGCTGTAACGTAACAAAATGTGGAAAAAGTCAAGGGGTCTGAATACTTTCCGAATGCACTGTAGGTCGACAGAATCAAGCCTTTATTAATAATGATCCTACATTATATTTGTCAAACATGACTGGTGTTTAGCCTATGTATATGGTATGTGTAATTAAAACTCTCATTAAAGTGTAGGTACATTTTCTGGCGCCTCCCTCATGTCAGCATCGGTCTGGACATGACAGGCTGTAGCCAATAGGCATAGGCTATCACCTACACTTTACATGTAGGCTAATTATTTATGTACATTTACATACACTTATGTTCTTCTTAAGAGAATAGCTACTGTTTTTCCGTTTTCAAAGCAATTTAAATAGGCTATTTTGGTTAATGGCCTTGGTGCCCTGGCAGATGGCCTTGGTGCCCTGGTAGATTGGGCAACTCTTGAGGCCAAATGACCTTGCCCCTAAAATCACGACATTCCAGGCCTGCCACCCACCCACACACACCCAGTGTATTTTGAATGCTTTCAGACAATGTGATAAATCGCACAACAACAAAAAATATTGGGCACAGAAATAACAAAAAGTGACCTTCAGTAATTTGGTTAACTCGGACAGCCCTAGTCTACATTGTTGCTTAATCCCAGGAATGAGCTTCAGTCACAAGGAAAAAATGTTTTCTTCCCTTCAGGAATGCCAACTAATTCCTCCTGGCTAACTAATGTCTGGCTGGGTATAGCTAGCCTAATGACTGAGTCCACTATGTAGAGATATGATTAGAGAGAGGAGAGGTATGTGTGAGTGTGTGTGTCTCAAGACTGATTGAATGACTGATTGACTGACAGACAGCCGCCGGCACTAAATTGAGGTATGGAAAGTAAAGTTACAGCTAGAGGTGAGTACAGAGAAAGAGAGGAGAAAGGGATCGTAAAAGAAAAGGAGAGAGAGAAAGACATGGATAGATGTAGTCTAGAAAAGAGAGAGAGAGAGAGAGAGAGAGGGAGAGAGAGAGAGAGAGAGAGAGAGAGAGAGAGAGAGAGAGAGAGAGAGAGAGAGAGAGAGAGAGAGAGAGAGAGAGAGAGAGAGAGAGAGAGAGAGCGAGAGTAGATTAGATTAGGAGGAGAGTAAGACTAGGAGGAGGGAGATGGATAGATGTAGTCTAGAAGAGAGAGAGAGAGAGAGAGAGAGAGTGAGAGTCAGACTAGGAGGAGGGAGATGGAAGATTAGGAGGAGAGTCAGACTAGGAGGAGGGAGATGGAAGATTAGGAGGAGAGTCAGACTAGGAGGAGGGAGATGGATAGACAGAGAGTTCTAGAGGATATTTACCTGTAGCTGTGGCTCTGCTGGAACTGGATGGCCCCTCCTCCTGAGGTTTGCACGTGAGCAGCATCTGTCTGTGCAGCTGTACTGACGGCTCCATGGAATGTACAGCATTCCCCTGCTGACTCCCCTCTCCACCTCCACCACCCAGGCTCTCCCCCACACCCTCCAGGTCTGGGCTGCAGCCCTCCAGGGCCCGCCCGGCCCCCCCTCCCCGGCTGGGCCTCCTCTGGGTCTGGGGTGCCTGGGGCTCCTGAGGCCGTGTAGGGACCATCAGTCTGACCTGGGGGGTGGCGGCGGGTCTGTAAATGTGAGGCAGCTCTGGTTCTTCGTCCTCAGGGATGGGGTTGTACCAGATCTCCCCCTCGTCGTCCGCATCATTCTCCTCGGCCGGGTCCACACCCCTGGGCTGGGGCCCAACGCGGGCGTGGCACATGCTCACCTGGGGTTGGTGCAGGCGGAGGGGCCGGGAGGGCGGCGGTCCGGGGGGTTTTAGGTACTCCGGGAAGGGACTAGGAGGGGGTCGGGGTGCGTGTCCATGTCCATTGTCCTCTTCTGCTCCCAGAATGCACTGGGAGTCGTCCTGGGTGGTGTGATGCGGCCTCCCGGAGCTCTGCTGGAGCCAGTTGCGTTTCTTGGAGACAGTGATGGTGTTGAGTGGGGGTCTCCATAGTGACAGCTCGCTGGCCTTGCCCTCGCCAACCTCGCGGCCATTGGAGTAGAAGGAGTGGACATTCTCTATCAGAGCTGCAGGAGAGAGAGAAAGAGAGAGTGCGAGAGATAGAGAGTGCGAGAGATAGAGAGAGAGAGACGTGTCAGACTGCAGAGCAGGAGAGACTGAGGCTGTATCTGAAATGGCATCCTATTCTCTGGTCAAAAGTAGTGCACTATGTAGGGAATAGGGTGTCATTTTGGACGCATTCTGATACTGATATCTCACTGCCACCATCTGCTCACCTGTATCCCTTCATACAGGAGCCTTAAGACACAAAGAGATATCCTGGCAACTATCACCATGGAAACTGTGGGGGGTGTTTTATAACCTGTTGAATCATAGCCTCCCACTTGTTTTCTAAACCCAACATTTGATTACCTGATTATATTTGCCTTGCGATTATAACGTTGTGCCTTTGTTACTTTAAATGAAAACATCTGTATCATGAAACCATAAGTGACTTACCAACAGTGACTTACCCGGTCTTAGGATGGTGAAATGTGTAGGGACTTGTGTAGTCTTTCTCTCTCCCCCCTCTCTTTCTCACGCTCACACACAACCACACGCTACTCAAAAACCAAACACATCATCTTTCCTCACGTCTGTATTTCACCTCTGATAGTCAGAATGAGAAGTGTGTGTTTTTTATTTATTTTTAATTTAGACTAAAACACAAACCGTCATTACTACGTGGCAGGCCCTGCAGGCCCCTTGGAACACGAACACGTCGCCGCACTGGCACGTACCCTCCAATGACTTCCCATCTCGGGAATGTCAGCTTGGGGAACGTGCGAGCTCAGACCTAACGGAAAACCACACAGAGAGAGACGGGATAGAGTCAGAGGTCCTCAAACAGAGCGGGGAAAAAATCTGAAAAACCACCGCCGCCGTGACAGCAGTGAAAATAGAGGAGATCAGGAGGACGAGGAGGGGAGGGGATGGAGGGTGAGGAGGATGGTGGGGTCGGTTGACATAAGTACAGCTAGCGGCGATATGAACATCAATAGGGCCAGATAAAAAGGTGGTGACATGGCAGCTTCTGGCTTGACATTTCTCAAAGGGTTCAGAAAGTACCATCCCCATTCAACGCAACAAGAGATGTCTCTGTGTGTCTGTACAGTTCGCAGCTCTGTGTGTACAGTTTACCTAGCAGATAATAAAAAAGAGAAGCCAAATCTCTTACAAATCGCAAAGTAAGTAACCCTGCAAATCATGCAAAGATTGTCTGTCTGACAGGTCTTGTTTTTCCGCAGGCAGTGTTGACAAGCCATGGGCTGATGAGCAGATGCTGCCTGCTGGCAAAGGGAGAGGGAAACAGACAGGCTGGATCTGAGTGCTGAGGGCTGGGTCCTGTCGCAACACGCATCGCATGGCAGTCTTCTCTCTGTAAAGACTGTTTTGATACGTGCCTTCTCCTCTCAGCCCAGACGAGCCCCTCCACAGTAGACGCTAATGACAAGTTCTCTTTTCCTTAAGGAAACAGATTTCCTGCAAGCTGCGCTACAACCACCAAATTACAGACTGGATACCGAGAATGTTTTCACTTATAAAACAAAATACATAGGGTCCAGAGTTGGGTGTTGGTGTGTGTGTGTGTGTGTGTGTGTGTGTTTGTGTGTGTGTTTGTGTGTGTGTGCATACAGGGTTGGAGAACTGTACTATTAAAAAGTACCAGCATGTCCGAATAAAGAGTTTCTTTTTAACCGATTTGGATGCAGTTAGAGGTCGGGAGAGGTCGTGTTTTTCTCTAGCTGGAGGTAAGCAGGAGGTAAGCTTCTCATATGGTGTTGAGTAAAGCTTAACCATGTATTAGATCGTAGGTAGGTAGTCAGCTGTAGTTAGGTATTGTATTTATTATAGGTTAGTATTGTTGTTATTGTAGGTTTCCGTAGGTAATTGTAGGTTAGTATCGAAGCACGAGGCTAGCTAGCTAGCGGGTAGCTACTGGTAACGATTAGCAACGCTAGAGAGCTGGTTCCAATGTTAAGGTAGTGCTAGCCAACGTTTAATTTTTTTTTGCTTAACCATGTATTAGATCGTAGGTAGGTAGTTAGCCGTAGTTAGGTATTGTATTTATTATAGGTTAGTATTGTTGTTATTGTAGGTTTCCGTAGGTAATTGTAGGTTAGTATCGAAGCACGAGGCTAGCTAGCTAGCGGGTAGCTACTGGTAACGATTAGCAACGCTAGAGAGCTGGTTCCAATGTTAATGTAGTGCTAGCCAACGTTTAATTTTTTGCTGCGTTATGCGTTATGAAAGGAACTAGACACGGACTTGAATTATCTGTTTAGTGTGCTAACACACTCTTGGCAGTTTGTTGTAACCAAGTATTGATGCTAAATTGTGTGTTAATGGATGCTAGCTTGCAAGTTAGCTACGGCGTCATAGCTAGGCATCGTGGGTTGTTGTGTGTAGTTACTGTGTCTTGGCAGTGCCGGCTGTAGCACGAAGCGAGCTACCTAGCCGTTTTTTCCGAACAGAGTCAGAGTCAACACAATAGCCATTGTGTGCCGGGTGTAGCACGAAGCTAGCTAGCTAGCCGTTCTTCAAACAAAGTCAACACAGTGGCCATTGCTAGCTACCCAACACGACCAGCTAACTGTACGGTAGTAGCTAAATACAATATACTTGTCCTAGCTAGCCAACGTCTAATCATTGCTGCGTCATGAAAGGAACTTGACACAGACACGAATGATCTGTTTAGTGTGTTATCACACTATTGGTGGTTTGTTGTGACCAAGTGTTGGTGCTAAACGGTGTGTTATTGTTATTGGATGCTAGCTTGCTAGTTAGCTATGGTGTCATAGTTGGCTAGCTGAATAAAGTGGGTTGAGTCTATTCCTTTAAACATTGAACCGCTGTGGTTCACAACAATTCTGATTTCTAAAGGCGGAAGTTGGGAGAGTTTTTGTTCGGGTGGTTCAGTGAAACAATTTTAGTTTCTGAGGTAGACGTTTTTGGTGAGGGAGGCCCTGCTCTCTCCGCTCCCAGATGCTTAGCTCATTTCATTCCGATCTCCTCTGCATTTTTGTAGCCATTTGCTACAGCCTGTCAACTATGCCTCTGCCTATCCCTGTTCTCTCCTCTCTGCACAGGCTACACAAACGCACCACACCGCGTGGCTGCTGCCTCTCTAACCTGGTGGTCCCTGCACGCACCACCCACGTGGAGTTCCAGGTCGCAGGCAGCCTCTGGAACTGCCGTTCTGCTGCCAACAAAGCTGACTTCATCCCAGCCTATGCCAACCTCCAGTCCCTCGACTTCCTGGCGCTGACGGAAACATGGATCACCACTGAAAACACTGCTACTCCTACTGCTCTCTCCTCGTCTGACCATGTGTTCTCGCATACCCCGAGAGCATCTGGTCAGAGGGGTGGTGGTACAGGAATCCTCATCTCTCCCAAGTGGACATTCTCAATTTTTCCCCTAACCCATCTGTCTATCTCCTCATTTGAATTCCATGCTGTCACAGTCACTAGCCCATTTAAGCTTAATATCCTTGTCATCTATCGCCCTCCAGGTTCCCTTGGAGAGTTCATCAATGAGCTTGACGCCTTGATAAGTTCCTTCCCTGAGGATGGCTCACCCCTCACAGTTTTGGGGGATTTCAACCTCCCTATGTCCACATTTGACTCATTTCTCTCTGCCTCCTTCTTTCCACTCCTCTCCTCTTTTGACCTCACCCTCTCACCGTCCCCCCCTACTCACAAGGCAGGCAATACGCTTGACCTCATCTTCACTAGATGCTGCTCCTCTACTAATCTCACTGCAACTCCCCTCCATGTCTCCGACCACTACTTTGTTTCCTTTTCTCTCTCGCTCTCCTCCCACACTACTCACTCTGCCCCTACACAGATGGTAATGCGCCGCCGCAACCTTCGCTCTCTCTCTCCCACTACTCTCTCCTCTTCCATCCTATCATCTCTTCCCTCTGCTCAATCCTTCTCCCTCCAATCTCCTGATTCTGCCTCCTCAACCCTCCTCTCCTCCCTTTCTGCATCCTTTGACTCTCTGTGTCCCCTATCCTCCCGGCCGGCTCGGTCCTCCCCTCCAGCTCCGTGGCTTGATGACTCATTGCGAGCTCACAGAACAGAGCTCCGGGCAGCGGAGCGGAAATGGAAGAAAACTAAACTCCCTGCCGACCTGGCATCTTTTCACTCCCTCCTCTCTACATTTTCTTCATCTGTTTCTGCTGCTAAGGCCACCTTCTACCACTCTAAATTCCAAGCATCTGCCTCTAACCCTAGGAAGCTCTTTGCCACATTTTCCTCCCTCCTGAATCCCCCCCCCCCCCCCCCTCTCTCTCTGTGGATGACTTCGTCAACCACTTTGAAAAGAAGGTTGACGACATCCGATCCTCGTTTGTTAAGTCTAATGACACTGCTGGTCCTGCTCACACTGCCCTACCCTATGCTTTGACTTCTTTCTCCCCTCTCTCTCCAGATAAAATCCTGCGACTTGTGACTGCAGGCCGCCCAACAACCTGCCCGCTTGACCCCATCCCCTCCTCCCTTCTCCAGACCATCTCCGGTGACCTTCTCCCCTCCCTCACCTCGCTGATCAACTCATCCTTGACCGCTGGCCATGTCCCTTCCGTCTTCAAGAGAGCGAGAGTTGCTCCCCTTCTCAAAAAACCAACACTCGACCCCACTGATGTCAACAACTACAGACCAGTATCCCTTCTTTCTTTTCTTTCCAAAACTATTGAGCGTGCCGTCTTTAGCCAACTCTCTTGCTATCTCTCTCAGAATGACCTTCTTGATCCAAACCAATCAGGTTTCAGGACTGGTCATTCAACTGAGACTGCTCTTCTCTGTGTCACGGAGACTCTCCGCACTGCTAAAGCTAACTCTCTCTCCTCTGCTCTTGTCTTTCTAGACCAATCCAGGAGTGACCTGCCTTTGATACTGTGAACCATCAGATCCTCCTCTCCACCCTCTCCGAGCTGGGCATCTCCGGCGCGGCTCACTCCTGGATTGCGTCCTACCTGACCGGTCGCTCCTACCAAGTGGCGTGGCGAGAAGCTGTCTCCGCACCACGTGCTCTCACCACTGGTGTCCCCCAGGGCTCAGTTCTAGGCCCTCTCCTTTTCTCCCTATACACCAAGTCACTTGGCTCTGTCATATCCTCACATGGCCTTTCCTATCATTGCTACGCTGACGATACACAACTAATCTTCTCCTTTCCCCCTTCTGATAACCAGGTGGCGAATCGCATCTCTGCATGTCTGGCAGACATATCAGTATGGATGACGGATCACCACCTCAAGCTGAACCCTGGCAAGACGGAGCTGCTCTTCCTCCCGGGGAAGGACTGCCCGTTCCATGATCTCGCCATCACGGTTGACAACTCCGCTGTGTCCTCCTCCCAGAGTGCGAAGAGCCTAGGCGTGACCCTGGACAACACCCTGTCGTTCTCCGCCAACATCAAGGCGGTGACCCGCTCCTGCAGGTTCATGCTCTACAACATTCGGAGAGTACGACCCTGCCTTACACAGGAAGCGGCACAGGTCCTAATCCAGGCACTTGTCATCTCCCGTCTGGACTACTGCAACTCGCTGTTGGCTGGCCTCCCTGCCTGTGCCATTAAACCCCTACAACTCATCCAGAATGCCGCAGCCCGTCTGGTGTTCAACCTTCCCAAGTTCTCTCACGTCACCCCCCTCCTCCGCACACTCCACTGGCTTCCAGTTGAAGCTCGCATCCGCTACAAGACCATGGTGCTTGCCTATGGAGCAGTGAGGGGAACGGCACCTCTGTACCTTCAGGCTCTGATCAGTCCCTACACCCAAACGAGGGCATTGCGTTCATCCACCTCTGGCCTGCTGGCTCCCCTTCCTCTGCGGAAGCATAGCTCCCGCTCAGCCCAGTCAAAACTGTTCGCTGCTCTGGCACCCCAATGGTGGAACAAGCTCCCTCACGACGCCAGGACAGCGGAGTCACTCACCACCTTCCGGAGACATTTGAAACCCCACCTCTTTAAGGAATACCTGGGATAGGATCAAGTGTTCCTTCTAACCCCCCCCCCCCCCCCCAAATTGTAAAGTGGTTATCCCACTGGCTATAGGGTGAACGCACCAATTTGTGAGTCGCTCTGGCTAAGAGCGTCTGCTAAATGACGTTAATGTGCCCTTGAGCAAGGCACTTAACCCTAATTGCTCCTGTAAGTCGCTCTGGATAAGAGCGTCTGCTAAATGACTAAAATGTAAATGTAAATGTAACCAGTGCAATCAAAGTAGTGGAACTTAAGCAAACAGAAATCACATGGCCTGTAAAGTTGCATAAGGCAGCTATTCCGAGTTCACTAGATTGAGACTAAGGTGCTTTTATGCTTGGCTGATTTAATTGACATGGGCCCTAAAGGCACAGTGT